TGACCTTCGAACAAGACAAATAAGTCAAAAATTAAAGGTGTTTGATATCTTCCTCATAGTTGTGCCAAAAGCACAGCGAAGCGATAATTTGTACTTTATGACAATTGGGCATATGTGCAAATCTGAAAATCTCAACTTGTCAATGACCTCGTATATCAATTCACAAATTTCAAAAGGTTTCGCGGAATCTCCAAAATAGTAAGTAAAGGCACAAAATAAGTTTTAAACAGAAGCAATTTTTTCATCTGAAACAGTCTACTTGAGATAACTATATGAATGAACCACATACCAGACGACAGAAGTGTCGAAATTCATAAGGAGCATCTTATGTGGGTTCATTGTGAAGGAGGAAGAGTACTAAAAAACACACGTTGTTAAGGTTGACTGAAAGCGTCATGAGAAGCTCACTCTTAAGCACATAGCATCCTTTAAATATAAAATACTATTTGCTTAGGAACGAATACGATGCACTGTAAAAATCGGAATGCGCAGATAACGGAAAACCTTAAAACATGAAAAGGTGAAGTTGAAGATCCATACGTCAGGAGAAGGAGATAATTACTAGGCCATCGGAAAGGCAGGTATATTTTCCTGAAGTTTGGAATTCATGGTTGAATCATCACCAGAAAATGGGAATTAAGTAAGCCGAACTGGGCCGATCTAGCTCTGAGCTGGTCTAGGTGTCTTTGTGAGATAGTGTGATCGTCTGCGAGGCCTTTAGTGTGTCAAAATGACTTTCGGATAGCTATTTCAACATCTGGATGTCTCTACGCTTAGTTCTTTGACTTCACGTAACAAGCTGGTCAAGCTACCATCAAGCGGCAATCCCCATTCTGACACTCCTTTTGAGCCATCGTACGTTAGGGGGAGTCTCTGTGAGCAGCCTGTATGTCTACTGCAAGCTCTCTTTGTGGAATCTGATGAATCTCGGCTTAGATATTCCTATCAGTTTTTGAAATTCCTGAAGCGATTGAATAGCTAAGATTTCTAAACCGGATAATCTACCAAAGAACACGCGAGAAATCAGGGGTCTCACCCTTAAGCCGAGCACCTCGCAAATGTGTTGAACAGAGGCAAAGTATTGGTGAAACGCGTGCCCGGGCATTTAGCCAGTAACTGGGTGGTCAGAACGACAAGTCATATACATATATTTCGTTAAGGTATTATACCATACTTGCTAAAAGGCAAAACACGTGTTTCACCGGTATTCTGCCGCTGCGTGACACAAGTGCGAGGGGCTCGACTCTTCAGTGGGACCTCCAGCGTTCTCTGTGCGCTTTCTGGTATACGAATTCCAGAGAATAATCAAGCGAATAATTTCAGAAATTACTCAGTGCAGGACTTGGAGTTAAATCTCCGGGACATGACTTTTTAGGGTCAGAACTGAAATTTCAATGAGCATTCGACTCGAAGACAATCAACTACTGTGGAATAACCACGTTATGCCCATTCTACAAACAAGTAGTACCACGAGTAGTATGACATCCATATGGTAAAGGTATTATACGGTACTCCCGACATGGATACATGTTAAAAGCTCAGACACTTGTTTCGTTAATATTCTGCCGCTGTGTGACACAGCTGCGAGGGGTTCGGATCTTCAGTGGGACTCCCAGCGTTCTCTATGCGGTTTCTGGCATATAAACTCCAGAGAATTCCGGTATAATACCTTTACCATTTGGAGTTCATACTACTCGTGGAACCACTTGTTTATAGAATGGGCATTACGTGGTTACTCCACAGTAGTTGATTGTCTTCGACTCGAATGTTCCTTGAAATTTCGGCTATGACCCTAAAAAGTCGTCTCCCGAAGATTTAACTCCAAGTCCTGCACTGAGTAATTTCTGAAATTATTCACTTGATATATATATATATATATATATATATATATACGTATGTACTGGAAGATAGGCATCCCAAGAAACATAATTCGAAGAAGAATGAGTCCTTTGGGAAAATGAACAAACTTTATTTCGTAAATTTTCGAGTCTGGTTCCCCAGCTCGTCTTCAGACGTGTAGTAAGTGTGAAGAAACAGTCAAAATTTAAACAATGCCTAAAAATCGATATTGCTCTGTCATGACTGAGGATGGGTTAATGCCGTGGGCTGATGTCACGTCGTGATTGGCTATTACCTTTTCCATTTTTCTTTGATACTTGTGTACATGGTATCAAGGTCGATGCGTCGATTGATGCATGAGTCATCAGAGTGAATGGCCTCTAGGAATTCTCGGCCTTTCTTATATGGGCAGGAGCCGACAATGCGTGTTTTATCCCAAGCGAATTTGTGCCCAGTTTCAAGAGTATGCATGGCGACTTGTGGGTACGCTACGTCGATGACACCTTTGTCATCGTCAAGAGAGATCAGCTAGAAACTCTGCATAAAGCTATCAACTCAACACTACCGGGAATAACGTTCACGCTCGAAAGAGAAGCTAACAGCAAACTCCCATTTCTTGATGTCCTCGTACAGCGAAAAACTGACGGGACATTCCAGACATCAGTATACCGCAAAGAAACTTACGCGGAAGTTATCCTACATTACGAGAGCAACCACCCTATGGCTCACAAACGGAGTGCTGTTAAGACCTTACTTAATCGAGCAAAGACACATTGCTCTGAGAACGAAGGTTACAAAGAAGAACTCAATTATCTATTCAACCTATTTTCCCAAAACGGCTACCCCAGAGATTTTGTACGCAGATGCATGAAAGAGCAGGAATCAAAAGAAAGAGAGAAGGAACTAGATTGTTCCGATCAGACGCCAAAACCAAAACATTGGCGAACGCTTCCCTACATTAAAAATGTGTCTGAACTCGTTGCAAGACACCTGAGGAAGCACCAAATACAAGTGGCTCACAAACCGACTACCACGCTACGCAATCAGCTTGTACACCCTAAGGATAGGGTTGGCTATTTGGATAAGAAAGATGTAGTCTATAAGATTCCATGTGGCACTTGTAATGCAGTGTATTGTGGTCAAACCGGAAAATCCGCCTCTACACGCCTACATGAACACCAATTGGCAGTGAAGAGGCGGGACCACTTATCCCAAGTCGCCATGCATACTCTTGAAACTGGGCACAAATTCGCTTGGGATAAAACACGCATTGTCGGCTCCTGCCCATATAAGAAAGGCCGAGAATTCCTAGAGGCCATTCACTCTGATGACTCATGCATCAATCGACGCATCGACCTTGATACCATGTACACAAGTATCAAAGAAAAATGGAAAAGGTAATAGCCAATCACGACGTGACATCAGCCCACGGCATTAACCCATCCTCAGTCATGACAGAGCAATATCGATTTTTAGGCATTGTTTAAATTTTGACTGTTTCTTCACACTTACTACACGTCTGAAGACGAGCTGGGGAACCAGACTCGAAAATTTACGAAATAAAGTTTGTTCATTTTCCCAAAGGACTCATTCTTCTTCGAAATATATATATATATATATATATATTGACTGGTTGAGGTAGTGTGCATTCCGAGATAATATTTATATTATTTATTATTTAATATATTTATATATCAGCACCACCTGATTTACGTCTATTACTAGTCGCTGTGCGACTGTCTGCGAGAGTTCTAGTATGAACTCCAAGGCACAACGGAGCGAGCATGTTCCGCAACCTGATTGGTGAGCGCCCACTTTCATATGTATTTATATATACATACAGACAATGTAACTTCCTACCAAATGAACAATAGAAAGCATATTTTTATGCATGTTCGCTATAAAATATATTTGAATTTATAAGACCATCAAAAATCCATAGGAAAAATGCATGCTACATAAGTAGTCATTTTGCACCGAGTGTGGTTTCTGCAGGAAGTCAACAAGATGTGCATTCAAAAGTCGACATCCTGGCGAGTCCGAAATGATATAAGGTTATGCTGTATTATAATCAGTATAACAACCCCACTTAAGTAATGCTTCCTAATAGGAAACGCATTCCAGAAGTTTGGCCAACATTGCATGAGATCGGTCACGCACTGTATATAAGTTGAAGGCAGAGGCGTTCTTTGGGAAAAAGGTACTTTATTGCGTCAATCTTCGACGCCGGTTCCCCAGGTCGTAGTCAGACGCAGCCTGAGAGTACATGGGCCGACAACAGTTAACATCTGGCAGGGCACATGAAAAATCGATAATCTTTCGCGTTTGCGCCCGTGAGCGGCCGCTATTTGCGTCATTCCGTCCCGAGTGGCTCTCGTCTCTTCCATTTCTCCTTGAGACTTTTGTACGCGGCGTCCAACTCGATTTGACGGTTGATGCACGATTCACCCGAGTGCATGGCCTCAAGGAACTATCGGCCTTTCTTGAAGGGGCAGGCACCGACAATCCGCGTTCTGACGCAAATAGCGGCCGCTCAGGGGCGCTCTCTCTCTCTCTCTCTCTCTATATATATATATATATATATATATATATATATATATATAGATCGAAAAATCGATACGCATTCGATGGTTGTACCAGTTAACAGCCGCCGTGTAAGTTATTTTATATCGAGTGGTCCTAATCTCTTCCAGTTTGCCCTGACATTTTCTCACAAGTCATCTAACTCAGTGTGCCGACTGATGAATGGCTCATCGGAGCGCACGGCTTCAGGAAACTCTCGGTCTTTTTTGGTGGGGTGTAGATCCCGGCAATGCAAGCTTTGTTCCAGGCGTTTCACCCAGTATCATGGTTGTGCATGACCACTTGATACAGAGGCTCTCGCTTCCTAACTGTCAGTTGATATTCACGGATGTGTGTGAATGACGAGTTTCCCGTTTGCCCACAATATACGGCATCACAGGCATTTCATGGGATCTTTTAGACAACTTGCTTTTTTTTCAAGATAATCGTCATTTTGTGCGCAACTTCTCAAGTGTCTTTCGAAGTGTTCAGACACATTCCTGATGTAAAGAACGATTTGCCAAGTATTTGCTTTGCGCGCTTCTAACACATTAGTCTGGGTCAGTATCTATACTGTAATATACGTTCTAAGGAGGTCATTAACTCATTACTTCGATGCCGGGCATGAGTTTGCGAAACTCGGGACAGGCTAGGGCCGCCCCAGCGTAGGCAGCGTCCAAATGGAGCCACAGATCATACTTCTGACAGATTGGGCCCAGTTCTGCCACGCGGTCGAAGCTGCAGGTGCCAGTGGTGCCGAAGGTTGCAGTGCACTGAAAGGAGAAAAATCAAGCAGATGGATGTGGTTGGAAAATCCCCTTTTCTAGCAATCAGGCAGGTTAGTTGATTTCGGCAAAACAAGAACTCACAGATGCCTCACTTCCTGATTTGGGACTGGGGATGTATACATCAACAGGCAACGACTTTGACTGTCATAAATAAGCTTACTATAGGCATCTAGGTTTCTGTGATGTGACGTTATTTCAAAACTGTCACAGAGGAGAATGGCAGTTCTATACATTGGGAAATTCAGGGAACGCCCATTAAATCCGAATATGTGATGGAATGCTGGATTTAGAAGGCCGTCAGATGGTGGGTAAAGGGCAACGGGCTCGTGGCCCAGTGGGTAGAGGCGTGGACCTCTAAACCAATAGGTCGCGAGTTCGAGGCTCGGGTATTCCACACTTCGGGCTTGGGTATGGCTGGCTGACGACGGCTAATAAGCCAGAAATGGTCATTCCAGTCTCCCTTGTCTTTGTCGGTAATGCTATTCTGTCTAAATATCATGCGCCGCTGTGCGGATGCTGGTTGGGCTCGAGAGAGAGTCCATAAGGCACAACGGAACGAGTGAGTTCCGTATGAACGATCGGTGACCGTCCCCTACCACTGTATATTCCCGATCGAAAACCGACAGGGCAACGGGCTCGTGGCCCGGTGGGTAGAGGCGTGGACATCTAAACCAACAGGTCGCGAGTTGGAGGCTCGGGTGTTCCACACTTCGGGGCTGAGTATGACTGGCTGAGGATGACTAATAAGCCAGAAATTGCCATTCCAGGCTCCCAGTCTTTGTTGGTAATGCTATTCTGCCTAAAGTAACTTTTCTCCTAAAATAAGAATCGAGCAGCAGTGGTTCCTTCCTTTGTTTTATATCCAGCATCTCTCATCAATGGGGAATCCGAAATATCATTGTTAAGGACGTGGAGTTTAGACAGTTAGTTGGGTAACACACGTGGACTGGCCGCTTCATCTTGTCAGGCATTGGTTTGTCATCGGACCGTGGTAGGCCTGAGAGAAGAAAGTGAATTGGATGCAGCGAACGTCTGTCTCATTATAAATTAACTTTGCTTGCAAATTACAACTGCACCCTCCCCCTCAGGACAACGAAAAACATTTCCGATATTTGGGGATAAACTAAAACCTCCATGAGAAACCTGATTAATTTGGTATAAGTCAGAAGAACTGCTTACAAAGAAGGGGATCAATCCGTCAGCAAGATCTTGCTCGATGGCCTGTTGAAGAGTTTGACCGTCCAGTTCAAAATTCTCGTTGCAGGGCAGCGAACGAATGCGTATAAGTGCCAGGAGACCCGCCCTTTCGACGCAGACATGCGCCTTGAAAAGGAGGAGCACATCGTAAACTACACTATTTGTTACTGATCAAGTTTAACTTTTCACTGACAAATAATCTAAGCAGAATAAACAACGATTCTACTTTGATAGTTAATTAAATTTCAGGTAAATTATTCCAACAGGAAAATACAACGAAAATCATACTAGGTCGCTCGGTAGGAGGAAGTGTGTCCTAGACGAGTTCCAAAACTCAAGCAAAACCCTAATCCTTAGCCTTCGCCTAAGTACAGACAAGTCTTATCGGCGCTTCTTGATATGTTAAAATACATAATGGTAACCCATGAAGACATTAAATGTGTGCCTTTAAGGAAGACAAGTGCCCGTTCTTTCATATTCCTGCCAAAGAAGTCAGTGGGGTTTCCAGTGTCACGCATCCGCTATGAAGGACACCTAAGAAAATCCTTAGGTCATCGGATTCAATCTTTGTCTGGATGGGAGTGCTCACCTCCTCCGAGCAGTAGCCGACCAGACGTTCCATAATTTCAAATTTTGAAGCTCGAGGGTTGCGTGCTTGGTACTTCTCAATGGCAATATTCCGAGCATTCAGGAGAGCGAGGAATGTGCACTCGCTTGATGTGGCCTAAAATTTAGAAAAATTAACACCCCATACATTAGCTTCTGATCATCATCAGCAGAAATCACTGTGTGGACGAAGACAGAAATGGCAAGATGGTGTAATGTCGATTATTTTTCCCAAATAGGCCGCTTGCCTGTGATAATTTGGAGGCATCTTGTTAGGAATCTGAGCCATTTTTTCCTGAATTTCGAGCCTATTATAGGCAAAGAATCATTTGTGGCTTCACCACAAGCCCGCTTGGCGATTAACAATTTCCTTATCGAGCGTCTTACCGTTACCCGTTGGTAATTAGTCGGACAGAAGGACAATTTTAAGTTGAACAAGCACACGGCAGACAAGATTATTGCATTTACTGTAAAGTTTTATCCTGTCGTAGGTAATAAACGTAGTTCGTAGGTGGCCTATTACTCTCTACATCTAGGTTCTTTTGAATGCGGATAGCTCGCAGCTTTTCGATCTCCAGTATATTCGTTTAGAATAATGCAAGCAGTGTGAGAAGCGAACGCTTCATTGGTCAGCCATTTAATGATAATCATGCTGATTTCGGAACTAATTAATGAACCGTGGGGGGGAAGTCGATAGGTTGGCGGCCTAAAAATAAGATACACTTGTGATTCACATATGGTCCTTCTCAGTTTACTTCACTTTATCTGAGAAAACGTAGGTGTGTACCTTTGAAATAACCATTTTTTACACGCAGAGGAAGTATGCGAGAAAGAATAGGAAGGGGAGTAACATCAAAGAACCATAAAGAAAATATCAAAAGCTCTGAAGACCAACAAGGTATTTCATGCGTGACTCAATGCGTACGGGACCCCGCCTATAGGTCAACACAGCTGAACAAGTTAGGTAATACTGCCAACATCATGAACTCGAAGGACACTCTTAGGCCACATCGCGATTAATAATTGTATCAACAGTGGACAGGTGACTGTCACTGTAGGTTAAACCGGCTGCAGGCTTACATTAAATGTGTTACCCCATGAAATATTAATCGAAATTCTGAAGCATGTTTTAAATTCGGAAAGATTAATTAAGTAGTATTCTAATATTAATTACCATGCGTCATGATCCTAAGCTCTTTCAGTCGCGCCACGATGCCGACTTTTGAATGATCTTCCTTTCGGCCGTTGGCATGGCTACACCTCGTAAAAAGAGCTACTTAAGTAGCATGTATTTTCGCCATTTATTTTCGATGCCCTTATATATGCAGACATCTTGCATAGAAAACATAAACAAAACGATTCTCTCCGGTGCTTATATGGTAGCAAATCACGTCTTCTTAAAATCTCCTACTTGAAGAGCGAATATCTTTCGGTTTTTAAAAACCTTTCCAATTCCCCAATATTTTCTCTCCGCGCTTGCCTTTACACTTGCATTCAGGATTTCCGAATCACATGCTGTATTTATTCTTCCAAAGGGGAATCGCACACATCTCTCTGCTGTCTGGAAGATGTCATATAGGTTTCGTAAATTTGTGCAATGAATTTGGACCAGGTTATATAATTTCTAAGTAGTATTACTAAACGTGCGGATGCGATGTTGTACGTTTAACAGTCCAAAAAATCTCATAATAAGGAACTGTTTTAAGACCAAAAGATGCCATCTTTTGCCTTTTCAGGCATGTTTTCTGCATAATGTTTGAATTTATAAGGGTATCGTAAACCAATGGGAACAATTCATGCCGCTTATGTAGTCGTGTTTTACGGAGCGTGGTTTTTACAGACGGTCGTAAAGAGACCCATTCGAAAAGCAGAATCCTGGCATGACCGAACTATCTGAGGATTGTTCCGTACGACAATTAACGTAACAATGCAACTTAAACAGTATTCCTTAAATCGAGAACACATTTCAGAGCTTCGGTCAACATCCTATGAGCTAGCACATTCAAGCGGTTGCCTACCTGAATGAGGCCTCCGCCATTTGTATGCGAGAGATAGAATTCTGGCAGGGCAAACAATTTCGCAAGCCAGTCCAGCATCAGGACTTCCAGTTCCGTGCTCACAGGTGAAGATGCCTGTTAGAAAGGGAAGGATCCTGCCCGGTGATTATATCGTTAATCCCTTCTGTCCACACGTTTATGTAAAATATAGACAAGAAAAATACGTAGAGGAGGAATTTTTAGAAATGCTTGATGAGTTTATTTTCAGAAAAGCAGCAAACATCAGGCTGTTTGACTTACTTAATAACTGATTAGTTTGGATGTGCATGTTCGAAATTTGTCTATCTAGCCGACGGTATAGGATGAAAATATAAAAACCTGTTATTTTGATACTTCCGTTTACGTTGAGCATTGAAAATCGTGAAGAGCCAGACTAAAATCAATGGCTGTCCCATCAAGGAGTGTAAATAGACAAATCCGTTCTGAGGGACGGAGGGAGTTTCGTTGAAAACCAGAGAGCAGGAGTGATCATTTGTGGCTTATCAGTCGTCTGGCTGGCTAACGGCGGCTCGTGGATCAGAAATGGCCATCCACCTCTTTGTCGGCACTTTCCTATTGGGCCTCATGGCACAGCGGAACGAGCACGCCCCGTAAGCTGATTGATTAACTCCCATCTATCGTAACATCAGGTCACTTAAATCATTTTAAATGGTGAATTCAGGGAGGTATGTAACAAGGAAATTAGCTGGTTTATAGGAGAAAATTTTCTCACAGATCTAGAACCTTCGGAACAGCCTATATGGTGGAATTTTTCAATAAGCCAATGCTCTGTCATTTAAAAAGGCAGGGAAGTAACTGTGGCTTTGGCGCAAAAAACATAACTAAATTTCTAAAAGCACTGAGGAAAAAATTAAAACACGCATATCTGTGCGTCAAGGATGACGTGGGCGATGGTGAATAAGCGACACGTGGGAGTCATTTAGTTGATTTGGTTAGATTTAGGGTTGGGGCTAGGGTTCAGCTTAGGGTTAAAGTTGCAGTCTATGGTTCAGAGCTAGGAATAGGTTTTATGGTTTAGGCTCAGGGTTATTTTCTAGGGCTTAGGGTTAGGGTTAGGATTTGGGGTTAGGGTCAAGACCTAGGGTTACGGTTGAAGTTATATTGAGGACGTAGGGTTAGGGCTTAGAGTTAAGACGTACGGTTTGGCTTTATCGTTAGGGATTTGGGTAAGGATTAGTGCTAGCGATTGGAGTTAGTATTCATATTTAGTGTCAACATGGTCGTTTAATTGTAGGTTCTTTTGTACCCATTTCCTACAACTCTCACCTAGGTCATCCGTCTGATTGGTCAACTTCTTCGACTGTTCATTTTTAATGACCTTGACTGCCCAATAACCATTATCCTTATTGAAGTTGATTTTTTGCGATTACTTACTACGAATATTTGTATTCTGCGCTGCATCCGCTGAAATTTTACTACCAATTAAAACAGCCTTGCACATGGACCTTTAATACACCCGTTTCCCCATAGGTTTAGCACATCCTTCCGTGTCTTCTCGTAGCCTTACGCGTAAAATCCCTGTTACCACCGTCCTCGTATTGGACGCGCATGGAATTCTCCATTTCCCAGCTGGGCCACGTTTGCGAGCCCTGATCTCAGCGTTGAGTGACATTCCGAGGATAAACGTTAGTATTGCATGCAGAAATTACTCCGACCGATTTCGTTTCATTACTATCAACCGCAGAACTCAGGTGTGAGTGGGGGTTGGTAAAGTGCGGTTTCACATGAACGCACGCAACACACGAGGTGGCCTGGTGACCCATCTAGCGGCCTGACCACAAGGATTCAGCGTCTGAATAATCTGTCGCCTCCTAAGAGGAGACACTCGTAAGCGGCAGGTATAAAATTAAAAAAAGCTTAATAACAAAGCAGCCCAGAACTTTCATTAAAAGACTAGACGCTGATGCATATTTAGCAGCGCCTTTATAGTACAGTTGGGATGTTCAACGACGTCTCTTTGACATCACAAAACTTCTAATCTACCGAACAGATAAAAATGTTTTTTAAAGAAGAAAAATGACTCAACCTGACTGTTCTAACATTCACAGATCCGAACTTAAGCTTACCTATTCAAAGGTTAGCGAGTATTAGGTGAATATTCGTAGACATTATAGCTTTTGTAGGCAAGTAAGGCATGAGGGTAAAGAGGAAAAATTAAATGCTCTCACCCACGTAAAGGTCACCCCACCGATCGCACTGGAAATGATGTCCGCACACAAGGCTGCATAAGAGTATGCGACGCCAATGTAAGCGTAGAAATTGGGATGCTGCCAGTGAACCACCTGCGTCGAACATGTGGAAGAATGCAAAAACAAATTGCTGACAGAAGAGAACAAGCGAGTTCTAGGCAGCAGTTCACAAGAAATTTACTCGCCTGACGTTTCGGATTCTCACTCGAATCCATCATCAGAGACAGTCGCTAATAAGGTTAATGGTGGCAAAAGGAGTGCAGTATTTATAGAACGTGGCTGCCGTGGGATCATACGCGCACTTTAATTAATAGCTCTCGCAATCACCGCGGGGAGGTCGTAATTAATGTGATGGCGGCTTGTCAGTCTGCGTCCGAGTCGTGAATGTTCATGATTTCGTCATCGTGTTGGATGCAGGTGTGACGATTGTTCGGCAAATTGGCTCACTGTCACTGGGATAATAACTCGCCCGCGCCCTCCCCACGCGACTGATTACCCTTCCTTATGGAATGTCTCAGGACTGATTATGGTAGTGGGAGGTCATTGCGCTTGCTGATGGATTGCGGGCCTGAGAAACATGACCCTAGCAGATTGTGACTCGCGCGGTTGGCACCCCTTGCGAGGAGTTCGGCCTCTTGAAACCTGAAAATATGTCCGGGTCCTGTCGAATGAGCCGCCACCTAAGAATTAGCGTATTCCCGCCTCATTGCTGTTGCTGCTCTGCAATTCATGTCCAGAGTAATCTCCTAGTTTCTCCGACGTAGTTGCTTTGTCCGCCACTGCACCAGATCCGGTATACGACCCCAAACTTTTCCTGCCGTGGCAGTGAGTCTTTCGGTCTCATGACATGCGCCCTATGGTTGCTCCTGCCTGCGTGCAACCCCAACAACAAGTGGAGTGAGAAGACGACTGACGGCCTCCGAGACGTTCTTCACGTACGGAAGAGCCCGCCAACATTTGAGGCCGTTTGCATTTGGTCTCTGGTGTCGTTTTCGTATGCACTGATTGACAAAGTTGCGCGGGTAACCATTGGTTCTCATTACCCGTCGACGATATTGCAGTTCAGTAACCTTGTCTTCCATTTCACTGCAGTGCGTCTCAACGCGCCGGTATAGCGCCCTTACGCAACTGCGTTTGTGACTGATCGGGTGGTTGCTGTTGCTGTTACCGTATTTCGTGCTGGGATTTTCCCTGGGCAGGGGAATCAGTCGCGTGGGGAGGGCGCGGACGAACAATTATCCCAGTGACAGTGAGCCAATTTGCCGAACAATCGTCATACCTGCATCCAACACGATGAATAAATCACGGACATTAACGACTCGGACGCGGGCTGACAAGCCACCATCACATCAATTACGACCCCCCAGCGGTGATTGCGAAAGCTATAAATTATAGTGCGCATATGATCCCACGGCAGCCACGTTCTATAAATACTGCACTCCTTGTGCCACCATTACATTTATCTGCGACTGTCTATGATGATGGATTCGAGTGAGAGTCCGAAACGTCAGGCCGAGGAATTTCTTGTTCCAGTGATCGCATCTTCGTCTTCTGAAAGGCAAATTCTCATGACTAACAGACATCAGAAGCACAGCCTGGGAAGTATTTCCAAATTCAGCATTTATTTTCCCCATGCCGAGGATATCGCGTCGGAAAGGATAACTTGTTGTGAGTCCACACTTCCTGGATAAAGGCTATGCATGAAAGCGAGTAAAAAATCGACCGAATTTCTCCTAAGTTACCTCGCATTACCTTATTATCCACAAACAAATCGTATAACGAATGAGGAATTTTCTCAGGATCCAATGTATGCATTCAGGACAATATAGAGAGTCCTGCTAAAAGGTCCCACAAATGCATCTGTTAAACTTGCACGAAAGTACTTGAACATAGCAACTTAAAATTTTCTCAGCTGCGGAGTCTTCATTGACCCATATGCCGTTTTCCACCACACGCATTATCAAAAAGACGCGAGGTGCACAGAGGAATTTGCAAGTCGTGAAAGGTGGCTTAGAGTATTCGGAGTGGAATGGGTGTCTTCTATGCCGCCTGAGAGATGCCCAAAATTATGCAACCTTGTCTCAATAACACTTTCTTCAAAGGACTGATTTGAGGGCTCACCGGAGTCTTTTAGCGTTCACTGTATGTTTCATCAATTCTCTCATAAAAGCGTCTATTTCCTCCTCTTCAGCTCAGAAAAGGGATAACGTTGAAGCTTTCGAACCGAACTCATGCTAATCTATTCTTCAAGAAAAATTTTTTTGACTCGTGGGTAACGCAGATAACTGTGGATCACGACGATCGATAACTGGTTGCACCAAAGCTTTAGTCAGCCTCTCTCGCGGATTAAGTGAGAAGTAGGATAAGCATGAGCAGGGGAGGGAGAAATATCTCCTGAATGGAGTTGACTTTCATGCACCCCATAAGAAGGAATAAAAATTCTGCACTGATCGTTTCAGTTTCAGTTATTCGCCAGAGTTTCAGTGGTGTTTGTGCGGGCCTATGGCAGTTTACTCAGCTTAGTGACAGCAACCGGGTCCAAACAGTCCCAGTTAATCGCTTGGGCGGGTTTGACACAGACTTCGGCATATCGATACCGTGACGCCGATCGATATTTTGCTCTTAACTTATTGGCTAAAGGCAGATGTAGCTCAGACACACGATCACACCCTGCGATCGCGGCTGCATGGGCGTCTTCTAGCATGGTTGGACGATCGATGTCGCTACTTTGACACTTCCGACTGCAGTAAAGGTAGCCATGGAAATTCTGTCTTCTTGCCTTTCGACAAGGACAAGCCATACTTTCCGGACAATTTCACATCGACAGCGCCCCTAAAAGTGCTCCACTTCCTAACCTGTGCCATGAGGCAATTCTGGCGGCACTCCTGATTATATCTTGAGACCTTTAGAGTAGCGTTGCCAGGCAAAGACATCATTAAAACGATTCATATAGACCGTATGGGTGACTCAAATTGCCACAAAATGGATGATAAAAATGTAGGAAAGCGTTCTCTAGTAACGCAAAGGGCATGTGTAATTGCAGAAGTGGACATTACTCCGCGCATCAGAATGTTCTCCACATCCTCGAAGATCTTATCCCATGATTCCGACGTCTGTGGGACCTCGGCAGGCAGGAGGGGCCGAAGGAAGCCCGGCTCAATGTCTGGAAAGACGCGGTACTGCGAAATTCCCTGCAGGTAGTCAGTGACGAAGTCCACCGCTCTCGTGCACTGTTTTCTCATCTGTGCGAAGTACTCCTCTTCCTCCGTCGCACGGTCTTTCAGGGCCCCATGTTCAAGGTTGCAGAGGATAGACAAAAACAGGGCATAAATTCTTCCAACAATATCTCATCGCATGTACCTCCATCAAACAGGCTGCTGGTATTATTTGGATTTTCTTTGAGCCAGTACTAGTTTGTTCGCCACAATAGACGCACCCAAGGCCATTGCTATGCCAGAAGACAGTCGGAATAACTCGTACCCAAGTAAAGTCTGGTTACTGACAAACAGCTAGTAGTAAGTAAAACAAGAATGCAAAATTGACATTCCTAATGTCACACATGTGATCATCAGCAAGATTTTTTGGCAGAAGAACAGCTGGAGAGCATACGTGTGCCTTCGATAAATTTCCGTCAGACCCGTACATTTATATGGAAACGGGGTCAAGTAGGACATGACAGATTGTTCCCCAGTAGGACTAACCCTAAACAGGACAAATGTACGAACAATAAAAAGACACTCCTATGGACTCCCGTCCATTAGGGCTGAAGTAGTTCTTCAACGGATAGAACACTTGGTGTTCACGAAGTATCAACCAAAGTTCTGGGCTCGCTATCTCGATGACACCTTCGTCGTTGTCAAAACAACTGACATTGAGCACCTAAGGGAACTACTGAACTCGGTTGACCCGCATAGTCAATTTACGACGGAAACAGAAACGAACAACCAACTGTCCTTACTTGACGTCCATGTGCACTGGTGTACAACTGGACAACTGCAAACCGCAGTATGCCAAAAATCCACCGACACGAGACGGATGCTGCACTTCAGCAGCAACCATCGTCTGCCTCACAAACGTAGCTGTGTCCGCACTCTATTCCAAAGAGTCGAAACACACTGCAGCACGCCAGAAGACAAAAGAGCCGAACGAATGTATCTTCAGACTCTACTTGCAGCCAATGGCTATCCCAGATATTTTATCGAGAGAAGCAGACGTCGGGCGCACAGATAACGGCCAAATGAGCAGCAACCTGAAGTCTGGAGGGCCATTCCTACGCTAAAGGGGTCTCTGAGGCGGTCTCTCGATTGTTACAACCTGCCAGAGTAGGCATAACCCACCGACACCAGACAACAATTCGAAGCCGTCTGATGCAACCTAAGGACACATTGCCACCCGCTGAAACCTCAGCATTCATCTACAAAATAAAGTGCAATGGGGGCGACTGCAACTATGTGGGAGAAACCGAGCGGAAATTGCAGACTCGCTTACAAGAGCACAAATCGTCAAATCGGAGGTTAGACCTTAAATCTCAACTAGCAACACACGTTGGAGAAACGGGGTATATTTTTGACCTCCAGAGGGCTACCATCTTAGGCCGAGGCAACACAAAATCAGAACGGCTAACACTCGAGGCGTGGTTTTCCGATGCCCACTGGCTTATTTAGCCTTCCCATCAGCCAGGTATGCCTTAATCCAACAAATGGAGACCTTGGAATGTATGGTGCAACGGAGGGTGTTTCAGATTTTAAAAACTCTCAGGGGTAGGTGAACTGGACTTGGGTTAATGCGTGGCTAGCGAGCGATGCCGTCGCGCCTAGTCTCCGTGCTTTTTTCGAAACCCCCCCCCCTGAACATTTGCTGTTTTACTCCACGTAGCCTTTCGCAAGAAATCTTGCATGGAATTGCGAAACAATGTGATTGCAACCCCCCCCCCACCCCGGAGAAGTAGAATTTCGACTGATGGTATGCAACAGGTTTTTCCTTTCAAAAGCCAAGGATTCTTGAGTTGTCACAAGAAACTTGAATCTCCTCACCTATTGGTGAATTAACTTGGCGGTTACTATTTCGCACCCATTTTTTCACTAGACAGATATATGGATTCAGTTCGTGTATTCTATGTTACAGAAATGGCTATAAGTCAAAATGTGCTCAAAATTTGAGAACCCAGTAACGTTGAGCAGTTTGCAAAAACGCTTGAGTAGGTCTCCAAAATAAATACTGGTTGGCCTGCGTATAGATTAGGTACGCTTAATCATTAAACGTCAGCCGAAATTCCTAAATGCATTTTTTTCTCTTGAAAGGATCAATTAAATAGGTTTGCAAAACTAATTATTATGCAGTGTAATTCCATAATAATTCGGTTACTTCAGCATGCCAGCTTGCGAATAAACTTTTCTTGGCTGCATACAAAAACTATACCCTGCAAAAAGTGGCTCCTAAAATAGCATCTATTTTTATCATTGGTTTTCGATGCTCTTGAAAATTCAATATGGTTTCATGGAAAACATGCATAACAATATTCATTCTTTTGTTCATTTGGTAAAAATGACATCTTTCAATTTTATACTCGAAGAAAGGGTATTATTCTTTTTTCAAAGTTTTATAATTATGAGATTCTTAACACAGTGTAATAGCCGTTCATAAAACGTCATGTCTCTGCACTTACCAATGTGGCTTGTAAAGTTAACAATATGACCCAAATCTACTGTTAAATTTTATGAACCCCACATAATCTCCTTCTATTACCGTAGAGAAATATATTGTTTTCCGTAGTCGGAAAATGCACGGCGTGTAGTTTGGAAACCCTGAATGAAAGTGTAACGGCAGGTTGGGGTTCAAAATTATTCGAGAATTGAAAAGGTTTTCGAAAACCGAATTATAAACTTTTTCGAGTATGAACTTGGAAGAAGACGTAAGTTTCTACCGAATGAGCAAGAGGATTAATATTTTTTGACATGCTTTCTATGAGGTATGACTGCATTTTTAAGGACCTTGCAAAATTATGAGAAAAATGCATGCTACGTAAGCAGTCATTTTTTACAGATAGCCGTTTTTGCTTGGAGCCGGAAAGAAGTCCATTCGAATGCTGGCATCCTGAGGTGACTGAATAATTATGGAATTATTCTGGAATGAAAACGCATTTCGGAATTTCGGTTGACATTTCATGAATTAGCCCATATTCCGTAGCTATATATATACATATTGGTAACAGTATTGAGTACATTTTCGACGTCGGTTCCCCATTTCGTCGTCAGACTAGAGTAACTGTGCAGAAAACGATTAAAATTTCAAACGTGCTACTAAAGCAGTACTCATTTGGTGCCTGCGTTCCAATCTACATATATACGTAGAGTGTTATCGTCGACCCAGACAAGGGAGACTGGAATGGCTATTTCTGCCTTATTAGGCGTCCTCAGACGTGGCACACCTGAGCTTGATCTCGCAAACTGTTAGTTAGAAGTCGAAACCCTCTAACAACGAAGCTGCGTGCTCGTTGTCCTGTCGGTTTTGATCGGAATACACAATTTTTGAGTTGGGCTTACCAATAGTCTCCCTTGTCTTGGTCGGTAATAACATTCTGCCTTTATCATGCGCCGCTGTGCACCTGCTGATTAGGCTCGAGGGAGAGCCCGTAAGGCATAACGCAACGATATTATGATGCAATTGATTTAAGTCTTGCAAACTACAACCTAAGGTCTGGAAGACAAACATTCCATCAACATACCAGGCTGTTTTGTAAGTTCAGATCCCTTAGTGTTATTCATTGCCCGCGTTCGGCAGCTAGTAGCGACAGGAACAGGCGAAATCCAACGTACACCTCCGGAATTCAAGTCACATTTATACATACACTTAATGTTTTGATTGGATCTCTGAAATGACAGCTTCCACTGGTGACATGTTTTGCATCCAGCAGCGGGTGATGATTTATGACTTGACTGTCATCGAATCGTATTGTTCCTTTGCAATGACCGGAACATGAACCCACCCATAACCAGCCTGAAAGTCATTCTTAAGTTGTTTATATGAACTCTATTTGGATAGACCTTTGACGTTTACTCTACGAAATTCTCGAGCTAACATATTCCACCGCCTCAGCGAACGAATTGCGTCGAAACTCGATTTTAGCTAACAGACGGCGAGAAAGAAATAGGTTTCTAATCCTTCCTCAAAAAGAATTGAATTCATTCGCGCAGTCGAAGCAGATGTGAAATTATTTTCTACTTAACTTCTGTGTGTAAGGAGCTTGTAAGTGGATGCCATAATTCCCTACGGAGATCAGACCACTATCATGCGCTATTCAATGTCCCGCCGTTTCAGACATTCGCCTAAGTAACACTTTCTCCTGGAACGTACCCCGGAGGATTTCTTTCAGTTTTATGAGTTCCAACTCTAGTCTAAAAGATGGACAGAATATTCAAACTATTCGAGGATTGAAAGTCAGGCTAAATGCGAAACGCATGTCGGTGACACAATATGCTGCTACGAGCATTACGTATTTAATTAACACGAATGATTCGATTCTCATGTTGTGAGGAGAAATTGAGGTGGTAATAAAAATGTTTGGTCACTTGACCACCAGGGACTTTCGTTCTGTAGTCAAATCTAAAAGCCAAAGGAATTTGTCGGTTTCTCGGGTGTTGATAATATTCCTGAAGATAGAACTCCGAAGGAGATCTGTTGGAACACTGGATGCTGAGACATCTTGCCTCAAAAAGCCCTGCTTAAACGTGGATAACCAGCAGGTTTCATCGAAAAGTACAGTAACACTTTACGGCCAAAATCGACGGAGCAATCAGTTCCGAAAAGACCTGTTGTAATATACTTACCATTTAAGGGTGACAGCATTTTAATTACCATTAAACGGCGATTGAGATGTGCCATTTAAAGAACGTGCAAAGCAGCTGGACTCATATTCTGCAGCCCCACTAAGGGTATCCCAGCTCCACGGGCGAAGGATGCCTTGCCATTGCACGCCACGTCAAATTGTGTTTACGAATTCACATGTATTTGTGGATGCAAGTACATTGGGTCAACGCAAGGGCAACTGACAGCCAGGTCAGTTGAGCACCTGCCTAAATGGTTTCTAAAACAAGAGAATAAGATTTCACGGTCTTCTATTACAGAACACCTCCTCGATAGCGGTCATTCTGCTGACCCCAAAACATCTTTTCGAGTATTAGACCAGGCGCGAATAACTCGGATACTGCGGTACTTGGAGGCTGCCTACATGCGGCGGAAGAAACCCGACCTATGCAAACAGTTAGAACACGTCGTCAACCTCAGCTTGCCCTGATAAAGCTTGGTCCTTTGATTTGCGCAACACCTCGGCGTGTAAACTTCTCCGTTTTCTTTCCTAAGTTACGTTTTCATGTAATCATTTTATTGATCATTCTGCATGCGGTATACGATAATGTTGGTGTTTTATATTGATTTTCTCCGTGGAATTTCAAATGTCTGTATGTTTCCCGTTCGTTATCTCTGTCATGCAACGACAGTCTGCAGCTGATAGGCCGTCGCGAAATTTGTTCGTTCCACTGTTGTCTATGCTTGCTTAAAATTCATCCTCGGGAAATCCTGCTTCAAACTTAAAGATCATTAGCAGTCAAAAGGGCACGGAATTGGAACTGGTGTCCGACCTTTCACGGCTATCTTCCCCACATGAGGGAATTCGATAAGGCTGAAATATAATCACCCCCGTCCTTCCCGCCCCTGAAATCCTTACTTCCATGGTTGTTTATTACACTCGTTGGTTAATTGACCTCGCAGATGACGCTGTCGACGGCATCTCTACAATATTAATTTCATTGAATTTTAGTAGCTCATGCAAAGTTTTGCTATCTACCTGAAACAAGTGCCTTTGGAAGTACGCCCAAGCCAGTCATTTGCTTAATGCAGAAAAAGAAACTGCGGTAACTTGAGATGCCAACATAATGGGGCTTCAGTTCTCTTGCGATGGTAGAAAATTTAACACCAATGATGAGCAAGAGTCAGCCATTTAACCATTCAGGGTTTAATTTGAATTGAAGAGTCCATAAAAAGACACGCTGATATGGGAGTGGCATTACTGGCGGTTAATGTTGCTGGTACCTTTCTCGGCAGTTAATGAATATCACGCTGTTACCCGCTATGGCTGATGGACTTCGGCCCAAATATTCGTGCATAAATATTTCGGTCTGTGCCTATAGACAGAATATACTGATCTACTCCACGTTCGCAGCTTATTTCTGAGGAAATTAAAGAGCTCCAATTATAAACAACACTCAAAAATGACCTTAGCATGATGGTGGGGTTGCCGCGTTCACGGAATACAGTGTGGTTTGGGGGTTGATTTCAGAGGAAGGTGGCTATATTTCAGCCTAACCATCGGTCCACTAGAGAAAGGTCTAAATTAAAAGTGTTTTCATCGCACTGAAAAGCAATTTTGCGTGTCCCGGACAAAATTTGAATGTAATACATGTCTTCGTACTGCAGCATCTGTGTCGTTTGGTAGTATGGACCACTGGTCGCTCCTGTGAGTACGTAGAGCGTTCATCTCTAGATACACTGCAGCCTTGGAAGTTCTTATATTTTCTATGGAGAAGACACATCTAAAAGACTCTTAACTTGTTTCCAATCATCCAAACTCACCGGCAAACGTTACCTGATGACGCATGAGGTTCTTTGAGTAATGTAGCCAAGAGCAGAAAATATACATACTACGGGCAATGCCGATCATCCGAACATCTCTAAATACCTGAGCAAAAATAACAGCCCTCTGTTTACTCAATAGTTGCGCTCAACGCATTCGTCCGCGCGAATGGAGATGTTCGTTAGTCCTGACGTTGAGCACTAGTGAGGGATCTTACAGGTCATGTTGCCTCAGGGAGTAAGGGCGCTGCACAAACAGAATACACTTTTCATAAACTTTCCTCAAGGGTAATTAGTCGTAACAGAAGCAGATAGAGGAGAGTGCATGTTGTCCATAAAAAAACATAATGGCGGGGAAAATCAATGGCAGAAATTCCTCTCAGGCATACAATCGTTTTTTATCGATGCCGGTTCTCACAGACGGCTAAGAAGGAAGTGCATTCAAAACCGACATGCTGTAGTGACTGACATATCCTTGGACTAGGTTGCGCTTTATAACGACACCTAAGTAATCCCTCCTAATAGCAAAGGGTTTAGAAGAAGGAGATGCAATCACTGGAACAAGAAATTTATTGGCCTGACGTTTCGGATACTCACTCGAATACATCATCAGATACATTCGCAGATAAAGGTTATGGTGGCAAAAGAAGTGCAGTATTTATAGCACGTGGCTGCCGTGGGACCATATGCGACACTGTAATTAACAGCTCTCGCAATCAACGCTGGGGTCGTAATTGATGCGGTGGTGGCTTGTTAGTCCGAGTCCGAGTCGTTAATGTCTGTGATTTCGTCATCCGTGCTGGATGCTGTTGTGACGATTGATCGGCAAATTGGCTCACTGTCCCTGGGATAATTGCTCGTCCCCGCCCTCTCTACGCGACTGATTCCCCCCTACTTAGGGAATGTCTCAGCAGTGAATATGGTACCGGGAGGTCATTGTGCTTGTTGCTGGATTGCGGGCCTGAGCACTATGACTCGAGCAGCTCGCGACTCACGCGGTTGGCACCTTTTGCGAAGAGTTCAGCTTCTTGAAATTTAAAAACATGGCCGGGTCCCGTCGTGTGCCGCCATCTGAGAGCTAGCGTCTCCCCGCCTCACTGCTGATGCGTGCTTGGCAATTCGCGTACGTAGTAATCTCCCAGTTTTTCCGACGTAGTTGCTTTATCCGCAACTACACCAGATCCGGTAAACGACTCCAGACGTCACCTGTCGTGACAGCGGGTCGTTTGGCCTCATGACTTGGCGCCTAATTGTTGTTCTCGGCCTGTGTGCAACTCCAACTCCAAGTGGAGTGAGAAGACGACTGACGGGTTCCGAGACGTTCTTCACGTACAGAAGAGCCCGCCAACATTTGGGGCCGTTTGGATTTGGTCTCAGGTGTCGTTTTCGTATGCACTGGTTGAAAAAGTTGCGCGGGTAACCATTGGCTCTCATTACCCGTCGAAGATATTTTAGTTCAGCAACCTTGTCTTCCATTTCACTGCAGTGCGCCTCAACGCGCCGGTATAGCGCCCTTACGCAACTGACTTTGTGATTGATCGGGTGGTTGCTATTGAAGTTCAGTATTTGCTTAGTGTTTGTCGCTTTCCCGAACACTTTGGTTTTTAGGCCACCACAATATTTGAGGCAGAGGAGGACATCCAGGAAGGCCAGCTGATTGTTTTTCTCCGCCTCCATCGTGAATTGAATGCCCGGTAAGACGGCGTTGAGATGTTCTTTGAATGTCTCCAATTCCAAAAAATTACTAAATTAGGGTTATCATGTTAATTATCGTGTTGCATAATGCCAAAATATTTCGATTACGTCTGGATGTCAGCCTTCGAGGGAGCCTATTATTGGCCGCTTGCGTAAATTTCGTTCTATAAAAATGACTACCTACCTATTGTGAATTGTTCCTACCTATTTTCGATTATTTCACAAGTTCATATGTATTTTACATATAATATGCGCAAAAGCATTCTTTCTTTTGCTCACTTAATAGAAAATTACGTCTTCTTAAAGTGTTTTTACATGCAGAAAGGACATAATCTGCTTTTAAAGAAGTTTCTTCTCATGAGACTTTTTGAAACTCTGGAATGTCCGATCATATAGCACCACATCAGCACATATATAAGTCCTGCTTATAAAATGGACAGCTTCGTTCACATTCATTGCAAAATTGTATAAGTCCCATATACCCTTTTCTAATGGTGTATAAAAAATTGGACTTTCCTCACACGGAACGGATACGCCTGGTAGTTTGGAAACCGCGAAAGTAAGTGTAACGACAGGCCAAGTTCAAAATTATTCGGCAATGGGGAAAGATTTTAAAACCGAATAGTGAACTTTCTCCAAGTACAAAATTAGAAGAAGAACTAATTGGCCACCAAATAAGCAAAAGAAAGAATATTTTTTCATGTGCCTTTCATGAAGTAACTTTGAATTTAAAAGGGGCTCAAAAACCAATGGGAAACATTCACATTAATTAAGCAGTCATTTTTTATGCACTGTAGCTTACTCAGGCAGCCGATAAGAAGCCCTTTCAAAAGTCGACATCCTGACGTAATTGGAATATCTTGGCATTGTGCGACATGGTAGTTAACATGACTACCCTACTTAGGAAACTGTTTCGAATGGAAAATGAATTTCAGAATTTCGGTTAACATCTAGTGAGATAGCGCATCCACTGCATCCCCCACGGAAGTGCAACAAATAAATAAGCATATCGTGCCCACGTTCCAAAGCGTCTCTATCAGGAAGGTTCACTAGAAGCACCTTCATAGGCTTCTTAAACAGCAACAAATTAGCACAAACAGTAAGCGCGTTTAATGAGATGCCTTCGTTTTATAAACCATTTCGATGAAACACCATCATTGATAATGTACCGGCAGGCAAAGGAATGCCATTACATTTAAGAAGCAAAATTTTGATTGTGAACGCATTAAGACGCATGACAGAACATAGCGCTATGTTTACGTTTAGTAAGTTTCCCTTACCGGAATCACCTTGAACGATTGAACAGACTTAGTTGCCGATAGGAATGTAATTAACCTGTTTTCGGTATTAAAACAGCGAGTTTCTGTAGGAATCTCGGACTAAAAACCCGTGGAAATTTGCATAACCTGTTAAATGTCAAATGTACTTACTGGGAATAATGATCTGCTGTTGCGAACCTTTAATCACTATCAGCAACTCATAAGTTAAAACTCGAAGAGCCTATCTTTATCATAACAATTTAGAATATCTATTTTTCATTTGACTTACATCTGAAAAACGCAGCGGGCTTGGTGGGATTCGAATCCACGATACCAATGGCAAGGCTTAGGTTCAACCAACGCTCCAACTACCTGAGATATGAGGTCCTGGCAAGAACCGTAAATCTAATCGCATTTAGATCTACTGATTAGATCGTCGGCTATACTCAAGCCTTGCCCTTGCTGACACGGGTTCGAATCCCATCGAGGACGTCGAGATTATCAAAAATGGGTCAAATGAATTATTTACATCTGCCAAGAATACCTATTAATATTTATTGTTCCAATTTAAAAGCCTGTTTCCATCCTGAGCGAAACAAACTTCAGACTAAACATCCAAGACAGGGTACATACCCCACATACCACCTCGGACTTACTTCAGCGACTTACTGATGCATGCATTTGTCCTCTGGTCCCTAATTAATTTCATTGCGTCTGCTCGTTTAGTAGCAGAATGCACTTCTGTAATCGACGTCATCATCGAAAATCGGGTTTCTTACATTTTCTTCGTAGCTCCAGTAAAATGCTGCATTTGTTTATCCGTGTCGTCTCCCTTTATTTTTTAAGCGCCCTGTCATTCACGCGTTGCTTGTTTTGTCAACGACTGGTGTGCTGCTCTAAAGAAACTGTTACTGAAATGAAATACATTTTCTTCAGTCATTTGTGGCGACTCGGACAGGTTTTCCAGGCGCCAGAGGCCCAGGTGACAGACAGGTCACGTAACAACCAGAACCATAAATCAGTCGCAAGAAGGCTACCTGTTTAGCCGACAGATTCACCCGACAGATCCGGAGTAATCTCAGAGACAGGCAAGAATTCGTTCCGATTGACTGTGTCTGGTAACGAGATCTACGTAGGAGAGTCAGAGAGGGGAATCCGCTTTATTGTGAAATCATAAATTCAAAATTCTTAGTAAAAGACGGTGGATTCTCTCTCTCTCTCTCTCTGTAGAAGCAGCATGTTTGCTCCCAACAGCATCCGACGATACGGAATTTAAACAGGTACTTGATACGGAGAGAGTCCTTTAGGTGAGCAAATGACCTTTTTAAATCTTAGGTTTAAAGCCAGGAAAAGTATTCAGACGCGCGATTAAGGCAATCGGGAATGACAACCCTTCCAGCAGGCCGGCGGGACAGAGAAGGCGATGAGCATGGGACCTCTTCAGAAGGCAGAAAAGATGGCGCATTTAGGCCACGCCATACGGTAAATAGTTTTGCCATTCTAAAATGTCGTCCAACACCGGCAACAAATATCTTCAATTTAAATTGACAGGGAATATGGGTTGATGAGGAATTGTTGAGGTATGCTGAATGTCCATTTTGGTAACAAACAGAACTGTCATCACGGAAGCAATCATAGACGAGAGGAGGAACGGATGGCAGAGGGGGACACTCACCAATCGTTTCTACGGGACGCATTCGTTCCATTATGTCTTAGGACTCTCTCTTAAGTCCAAATAGCAGCTGCACGGTGGAGCATGATATAGACAAAATGGCATTACTGGCAAAGACAAGGGAGACTGGAATGGCTATTTCTGGCTTATTAGCCGTCGTCAGCCAGTCATACTCAACTCCGAAGTGCGGAACATCTGGGGCTCTATCCTGCGACCTGTTGGTTAAACGTTCAACGCCTCAAACCACCGAGCCACGAGCTCGTTTTCTTGTCGGTTGCGATCGAGAATATATAATGTTAGAGGGGTACTCACTGATCGTTTATTTTTACGGGGGAACAGATGCATCAATGAGTCGCCGAAGCTAATGCCATGTTAGTTGAGATCGTTAAAGAGAGAGAGAAACGAAACCTTGAGAAAGGAGTACACTTTATTTTGTAGGTATCATCTATAATTCTCAACAAAAAGGGCTCCATCCACTGTGGACAGATGATAAATTAACAAATTACGCAAGAGCCAGAATGTTTGCATAAAATGAGCATCTACTACAAGGACAGTTCAAGTCTCCGTTTCTACACCTCTGACTCTTTGAACGCAAGATTGGCTGCCAGAGATGGCAATACAGAACGCTGATATGCCGATGCACGACAAGAAATAATTCGAAAGCCATGGCGCATGGGCCGGGAAGGCTTCGTGGTGCAGGGAATGAGCAACGTCATCCAGAATTTGACCAACAAATTGTTTGACCGTTTTGAAATGTCGCTGTATGATAATATCGACTAAAGGCGCAAGAAACACTAGCAGCAGAAGAGAGCATTGATGGGGGGGGGTTGGTTTTAAAATAACATATATTTTTTAAAACGGGGAAAATGACGAGAGGACAATAAAGAGTGCGAGGCAGGCTGTCTCCTGCCGTTTCTTCGCATGTAAACTCTATGGCTGAGAAGACGGTATTTAGTTTTTGATGCAGCCGTTTGACTTTGCAGTCCTTTATGGCGAAAAAGGCTCGCCTACGTAACAAAGACACACTCTAAGATTGAGGGCTTGAATAGCCTCTTCTTCTAATCGTCGTAAGACTTGATCAGCAAGTAGTTTTAAAACTGGTGGGCCCATTTCGGTTTCCTTAATCTGTTCGTAGCGCTCGTTGTCGGATTGGCAGCTGGTTATTGAGACAAAGCTTGGGAAATCCAAAAACGTACTGCCTTAGGATTTCAATATGGTTGTCTTGTAAGCTCTCGGCCTACGCTCACAATTGTCAAGTCGTGTGGTATAAGGGCGAAAAGGACAATGACGTCAAAAGGCAAGATGCATTCATCAGGACTTACCTTCAGGTCTTGGACCATGTGAAGGAATGCATGGGGGAGGTTAGTGCTGGATTTCGATTCCCGAGTTAGGTGCTTCCAAGGCCTGTACATACGTCTCTGCCACTGTCTCTGATAATAATAATAATAATAATAATAATAATAATAATAATAATAATAATAATGAGGAGGAGGAGGATGAGAATGAGGATGCTGATGATGATGATGATGACGACGATGATGATGATGATGATGATGATGATGATGATGATGATGATGATGATGATGATGATGATGATGATGATGATGATGATGATGATGATGATGATGATGATGATGATGATGATGATGATGATGATGATGATGATGATGATGATGGGTTCAAGTGAGGATCGGAAACGTCAGGTGAAAAAAGCCCTTATTCCAGTGATTGCTTCTTCTTCTTCTTCTTCTTCTTCTTCTTCTTCTTCTTCTTCTTCTTCTTCTTCTTTATATCAGCTAGTCCCTGGAGCTCGCATCTTCGCTTGTATCGATCAGAGATTTCATTTATGTCAATTTGCTTGTCTGTACACCTATATTCAATTAGGAATGGACACACACCAATCCCTTGGCTCCTTGAGGCAAACACACTACTTATGTGTGACAGAGGTCACAAAGAGGCAACTACCCTCCAGGCCGAACTCGATCACGTCATGATAATAGGGCGGAGACGACAGAGAATAGGGAACCGCTTGCGGCGTATTCTGCCTTCATTTGGCCAATCACAAGGCATGCTTCTTTTTCTCGTCCCATCTGCTCGCCAGGACATTGAGGGCAAAATAAGCCCGAAACAGTACTGTGTCAATCTACTCCATCATCTGTCCTCACCGACTGTTATCATACATGACTTTGTCGAATTCACCCTGGCAGACGATTGCATGTTCGTGACCTCCGACACACAGATGGGACCTGTTAGCTTCGAAAAGTCAGTGAATCGATAGGCGCCCATTTCCGACTGAATAAATACGCTCAACCTACTGAATCGTCTGGAATCCACTTAATCTGATACAGTAAGCTGACTGCCCAAACAGGATTTCCTAAGTAATACATCTAAAATCCACCAGATCACTACCAGGCGAGTAAACCAGACCCAAATGCGATTAAAGTCACATCTCTCATGGTGAAGACTCGTAGCTCAGGTGGCTAGAGTGTTGGCTGTACTAAAGCCCTCCCTTGCTGTCGTGAGTTCGATTCCCACCAAGGCACCGAGTTTTTCACAGTTGGGTCAAAGTGAATTATTTGAAATCTGCCATAACACCTGCGCAGTAAGAGGAGTCCATGCGTGGCGGAAGCGACTGGGGATAGCGTTTGCAGTGCAATGGTCTGCCACGGACTTACGCGTGACCGAGTAGGCTCATGTGGGCAGTCGAGGTGAGGGCGACGGGCAGGTTCTGTCACACCTGATGCTGTTTCATCAGTGGTTGGGGCATTCAACTTATAACTATAAGAGCGCAGGTTCAAGCCTCCGGTGCTCCAAAACGTGGGGTTCAGTTGGGCCGGCCGGCGATAGTGAATAAGACGGAAACGGCTACCCATTGCCCCGCTGGTTCGTCGGTCTCAATACGATGGATTCCTCAAAGACCGACCATGCTGATACAAAATGGCATTTTCGGAGACAGAATGGCCAGGAATTCAGGCTACGTTGATCTGCTTATAGCGTTGATGTTGTTAGCTGTGGTGACGCTACTGGAGGTTGAGTTGGCAGTGCTGTGGATAGAACAGTTGTTTGATGCGCCAGATGGGCTCGCTCTATCGAAATTGGGTGAATCCTGCTGCCTTGATTACACATGTGGTTGAAAAGACTCATACGCTGACTGAGCGTGTGTGGACTGGGCAGGCAGTGGAGGCGGGTTAGGCGAGTGTTCGCCGGGGCACTATTCAGGGGTTTGAAAGTCTCCGTACGACAGATTCGCAAGTGACTAACCAGGCCGACGCGTGACCTAAGGGTGCCATCACAATGAGGGTAGACTAGGATCGAGTACGATATGCTAGTGACGGATCGTTGGTGGTGAGAGGGGCGTTTGACAGGGCGTCGGGACTGTTATCACGGATGGTGGATCCGAGGGAGCGTGGGGTTGTAACCGTCGTCTCCGTCATCACACAGATAGTGGGGGTGATGAAATAAGTTTGAATAAGTTTCGCTGACAGGAACTAACCTGTCAAAAATTGTTATCTCAATCTCCCTCGTCTTTATTGACAATCTGCCCCTATATATGCATATATATATATATATATAATGGTAGGGGGCGCTCACCGATCTTTCATACGGTACTCACTCGTTCCGTTGTGCCTTAGGGGCTCTCTCTCGAGCCCAACCAGCAGCCGGACAGCGGCGCATGATATACAGGCACAATGGTATTACCGACAAAGACAAGGGAGACTGAAATGGCCATTTCTGGCTTATTAGTTATCGTCAGCCAGTCATACCCAGGCCCGAAGTGTGGAACACCCGAGCCTCGAACCTTGGGCTCGAGAGAGAGCCCTTAAGGCACAACCGAACGAGTGAGTTCCGTATGAACAATCGGTGAACGCCCCCTACCATTGAATATATTCCCGATCGAAAACCGACAGGGCAACGGGCACGTGGCCCCGTGGGTAGAGGCGTGGACTTCTAAGCCAACAGGTCGCGAGTTCGAGGCTCGGGTGTTCCACACTTCGGGCTTGGGTATGGCTGGCTGACGACGGCTAATAAGCCAGAAATGGCCATTCTAGTCTCCCTTGTCTTCGTCGGTAATACCATTCTGCCTATATATATATATATATATATATATAATGGTGCTGGGACGCTCACTGATGGTTTATACGGAACTCACTTGCTCCGCTGTGCCTTACGGACTTTCTCTCTCGATATATATATGCAGACTATCAAGGTCTTGAGGGAGATTTTTTAGTCCCCTAATTACTTTTTGTTTACGTGCATAAGTTACTCAGTGCGTCTTAATAGCGTCACTCCCATCAAATCTTCGCGTTATTTCTTGTGTCAACGCATATGTAGAAGAATACTCCATTCATGAGTTCATTGGTCTCTCTGGCAATTTCGATCTCCATTTAGTTTATTTCTGGCAAATATGTTCTGAATGTTAATCGAAACCGCGTTCTGGGTTTTGAGATCCGTTTCCATCATTTTACCATAAGGATTTCGATTTGCATGGGTTGTAAAGATGTCCGTGAACTGGTGTGTCGTTGTAAGAACTGTAGACCTACACAGCGAACCGACTGAGTATTGTCACTTTCAAAGGCAATGGTAACTGGGTCAGCTAGTTACGCAGACATACAAGCATGGACCGAAGCGAAAAGCTCACTGGTTTTAACCCTGATTTACAGGCGCCACCCTATCACATCGGAGTCCGCGCTGATGACCACACCCGTGCCGTCGCCAGATCAGCTCGTGACTAGATCGACCCAGCTTGCCTTATCAAAAATATGTCTTCCTTTTTGGTGGTCTATCAATGCACTCCTGAAGTAACCCCGGACATACCGCATCTCAGTCACCTCAATTTTCGTTATGCCTACTTTTCGTTTTTTGATTGTTTTTTACTTCTTTAAGCAGGCTTCATATTGTTATGGAAATCCCAAACATTTTATCTCTAAATTGCGACATGAATTCTTATCGATCACGAAATTGACATTGTGACAGACGATGCCCACCGTGCGCTCCACACGGTGATTTGCGTTTAAAGTGATGCTGGACTTGCGCAGCATCTAACGCACCATCTTCCCGTTTTCACCCAGAGCCGGCCTCAAGACAGCGTCAAGAAGACACGAAGCGGAAGCCGGCTCAGGTGTCTGGCAGGGTGAAACATGCACCTAGACGTACCACAACACCCACTAGTTAATAATAGACAGTAACCAGGATTTTGCAGAACAGCAAAAGTGGTGGGTTGGCTCAGATCCCAGTGGACGCGACGTAGGCCTGCAAATGGGCGTGCGGTCATTCATCAATGTTGACATCTTTTATGGCGTGCCGGACTCCTACCTAGTCCATCTGCTGATCCAGCGCATCTACCACGTGGGGGGGCGGGGGGAATAATCAGGTTTAACAGCGTGCACTCCAGAGTACACTTGATCCCCCATAAAGAACCTACAGAAGACGCTCCTCGAGGATTTCAACGCCTTTGTTTTCTCACGAATGAAGGCGAAATTTCGAGTTCCAGGTGTATCCATAAGTGAAGAAGAAGAGTCGAGCACCGGAACACTTCATTTTTTATCCTGAGCTTTCAGACTCGTACAGGAGTCCATCATCAGAGGTAGTGGCAGAAACAGGATAGGCGACAGTTATAAGGCAAGTAGACTCCATCATCGACCGACGTCGCACGACTGGAGGTGACTACGAAGGGCTCTGTACGCCGGCGCCAGATCGATAAATCGATTGACCGAGTTCTCATCCGAGGCCCATGCTTCAATCAATTCTCGGCCTGTCTTGTTTCCGGTGTGGGCGACTATTTTGGTGGCTGCGAAGTCAAACTCGTGACCCATTTCGTAGGTGTGGGCGGCCACTTGTGATTATGCGTCGCCTCGCCGTACAGCCAGCTCATGTTCATGTATGCGCGATCCGAGCATGCGTCCAGCCTGTCCTGTGTAATTACAAGGACACTTTTGACACGGAATGCGATACACTACTCCAGATTGCTCTTCAAGTTTTAACCGGTCTTTAGTTTGCATGAATCTGCTGCGCATGGTGGCTTTGGGGCGGTGTGCAATTCCAACCCCTAGCTCCGCAGCAATGCGCTCGGTCGCTTCTGAAACACCCTTGATGTATGGCAGAGAATGCCATATCGTCGGTGGCGTTGATGTTCGACTTCTCTGGTGGCGACCGCGTAGGCAGCGACTTATGAATGCCCTCGGATAGCCATTTTGCACAAACTGGTTGCGGAGATAACGGGCCTCACGTGCTCTGTCCTCCGGTTTGCTGCAATGACTTTGGATCCTTTTAAAGAGCGTCTTCACACAGCTTCGTTTGTGAGCTACCCAGATGGTTGCTGTGAAAACTGAGAAGCTGTGTGTTGTTTGTAGCCTCCCATTAAACAGTCGTTTTAAGTTCACCGTTAAGGTTTCGTCTGACGAGCACATCCAGGAAGGGCCGAGAATTGATTGAAGCATGGACCTCGGATGAGAACTCGGTCAATCGATTTATCGATCTGGCGCCGGCGTACAGAGCCCGGCGTAGTCACCTCCAGTCGTGCGACGTCGGTCGATGATTGGGCCTGCGTGCCTTATAACTGTCGCCTATCCTGTTTCTGCCACTACCTCTGACGATGGACTCCTGTACGAGTCTGAAAGCTCAAGATAATAAACGAAGTGTTCCGGTGCTCGAATCTTCTTCTTCACTTCAGATTTCTGTTAAGTAACTCATTCTCCACTTGCATTAAATGAACAGATGCATGTAAAAAACGCCGATTTCTTTATAAGAACACCTTTTGCAGTTTTTTGTTATTTTGGTGATTGTACAAGTAGCTTTATAACCTGAATCTAAACAAACGAGGTCCTGCGCAGCTTGAGGTCTCCAAATTCTGCTTACAGGTTGGCCGGCTGACGCAAAGCACGGATTCCTTCTACGTTTAATTGGGTCACTGAACAGATATGTTAACAAATGGAGGTGAATTTTTGAATTTTAGGTGCATGCATGGGCAAGGGAGTTGTAAATGCGATGACTGAGGTGCGCTTACACAGGGAAATTAGATTATTCAGGGTTTTTAGGCCCTGTTTGCTGCGTTTTCTACACTCGATCAGACAGAAATAACAAAACAGAGCAGTTCCTCCTTCTGGTAATATCCGAAAGACAGCAGCCGAACTGCATGGCTATTCAGCAGTTTTCATGCCTGTAGAACATAATTACGAAAGTCCAAAACTTGAAGGAGTTTTTATAATAAACTCCTTTACAAGCCAAAAATACACAAGTTTCGCTACTGGCATTTGAACGTTGCCTACTTTTTCACGCAATTGCACGGTTGTCTTTGTTTTATCGTAAGAAGCGGCCCGACAACTTGTTCGTAGAACTAAGACTCCATTTATTAAAGGAAGACCAGACCTCGGAACTCAAACTTCTCAATTGCAATAGACAAATTAGCCGTGTTCACAAGTAACAACGTACATGAAGAAGACCCATATACCCGAGGTAAAAAGCGGCTGTGGAAGTGGTACTGATTGGTGACCCCGTAAAAAGTGGTATAGTAGTTTCAAGCTGCAGAGATGCGAGAATGCATTAGTTTTCCTGATCACATTCCCCATTTTGCAGATTAAACAGACTACTTTCCCGAGTTGCGCAAACATACAATACTGAAAAAGTGTTTGGTAACCATGTTGATATCTTTAGTCATATTGAGAAATATTAGGAGTAATTTTCTTCCTTGAGTTTGACTTAGGCGAGTAATTTTGGAGGTTACTGCTGAACGTTTCTTTGACAAAATCGCTTTCTTTCTCGCACTGATGAGCGGTAACAGTGTCTAAGGTACGCGACAGTCTCCGTTATGCACCATGTGCCATCAGATGTGTTCAATAATTGACTATTATTTTCTAGTCTAAATAATCTCCAAGAACTTTTTAAGACAAGCACTGATGATGGGATGAACCTACAAGGTATAAAACAGCGAAATATGACGCATTGAAAGTGAGTGTGTTTACTTTGTAGGAGATCGTATTTATAGGTCTGGGAAAATCAATTCAGACGCAAATTACCCCTAGGAGATATGAATGGTCCTCCGTGCTTACGGAGATGACCGTGCTCAAATATGTACCAAAAGGGTGAGTGCTGCGTTCCGTTTATATTGGCCATCCTAATGTCAAACACGTGATGATCGAAAACTGCCGAAGGGGTCTCATATTGGGTGATTTGGACCGTGTCTATTTTGGCTTCGAGGGGAGGCGCGCCTTCAGCAAACTTGATAATTTGTTTCGCACAATAATAACTACTTGACAGGATATCAGTAGAAGTGTAATACAGCATGCGTGAGATGTACGTCGCTTCCACTCATGAGACAACGGAGCATTAACGGTGCTAACACAGGAGAGAGAACAAAGAATTCGTCCAAAAATCGTAACCGAAATACCGTAATAAAGGGCGTTCCAGAGTCCACACATGCATTCCAAAGGAACGAGTGGCGCACGACCTAGATCCTCATCGTTATCACACCAACATGGCCCTGCAGGATGGGAAACATTACTGCGCAAATAAATTTTCCGATACATTAAAGCCAAGTCAGCTTGTTATCTTAAATCACCTCCGAGGCCCCTTAAATACAGTAGGTGGGCGAACTCATTAAATGTGGACGGAATTTCCAAAATTCATTTTCCTTTCGAAAAGATTAATTGAGTAAGGTTGTAAAACTAAATTGTCTGAAGTATAATTCTATGATAATTCAGTTACCTCTGGATGCCGGCCTTCGAACGAATTCCCTTTCGTCAGCATACAAAAACTGTACTATGTAAAAATGACTACTTAAGTAGCATGGAATTTTCTCTTTGATTTTCGATGCCCCTGAAAGTTCAATTATAGTTCACACATAAAATATACATTCTTTCGCTCATTCGGCAAAACATTACGTCTTCTTTCAACTTTATACTAGAAGGAAGGACATAATTTAGTTTTAAAAGAGTTTCTAATTGTTAGACTTCTTAATACCGTGAAATGACAGTTCATACAAAGTCATGTCTTTGGATTTACCAATTTGGCTTGTAAAGTTAACAATATGGATCAAATCCAATGCTAAATTGTATGAACCCCATATGGTTTCCTCTTAATACCGTGGAGAAAAAAGTGATTTTCCGTACGCGGAAACTACATGGCTTGTAGTTTGGAAACCCTGGATGCAAGTGTGACGGCAGATCGGGTATAAAATTATTCGGGAATTGGAAAGGTTTTTAAAAACCGAATAATACCCTTCTTCGGGTATAAAATTGAAAGAAGACGTGATGTTCTACCGAATGAGCGAAAGAATGAATATTTTTATGCATGTTGTCCATGAACTATAATTGGACTTTGAGAGGCATCGAAAATCAATGAGAAAAATGCATGCTAATTAAGTAGTCATCTTTTACAGAGTACAGTTTTTGTATGCAGCCGAAAATAAGTTCGAAGGCCAGCATCTTGCGGTAACTGAATTTTTATTGGATTATATTGCAGACTGATTTTTTTTACAAAAAAGGGTTTCTCAGTCGGACAACGAACCAGGGGATAGATTGCCGATTGTGAAACTGGAATTAAAATTGATAAAGGACGGATAAAGGTAGAACGGACTGAAAGGCAAATATGGTTAAATAGTCCAGATAAAGTTGTTTTTGTGGGCAAAATCTGTCAGAGGAGATTCTGCGCATGTGGACGACCACAAATTTGATGTCCTCGGAAGATTTTATGGTGGTCCAGAAGGCTACTCGTGTGTTGCAGTGGAGAAGGCGTGCGTTTAAATCATTTCATTCTGGACTCTTTGGCTTCTGTGTGAGAGCCCATTTGGATTACCCGATGCCAGCCCGGACACTGAATGAGGGCAGACATTGACCTCTTCGAACTGGTGAAAGTCAGGTCAGCAAAGATGATCGATGGTTCTAAGAATGTATCGTTTCAGGATATAGTAGATGTGCTAACTAATGAAATGTTAACCGAAATTCTGAAACGCATTTTCTACTCGAAAAGATTGTTTACTTAGGGTTGTTATATTAATCACCTTACAACATAATCCCAAGATAATTCAGTTATTTCAGGATACCAACTATTGAACAAACTCCTTTCCGGTCGCCTGGAAAAACTACACTCCGTAAGAAATGACTACTTAAGCATAGGGGATTTTTTCTCATTGACTTTTGTTGTCCTTAAAAATTTAAATATTTGTCATAGGAGACATGCATAATAACACTCATACCTTTACTTATTTGGTAGAAAATTACGTCTTCCTCGAACTTAATGCCTAAAATAAGGGTATAATTCGGTCTTTAAAAAGTTTTCCGATTCCCGAATAATTTTGAAATCGGGCGGCCGTCACGCTTGCATTCAGGGTTTCCGAACTACCATCTGTATATTTGCGGTGTATAGAAAATCGTACATTTCTATGCGGTATTCAGAGGAGACCGTACGGGACACATACAATTAAGCAGTGGATTTGAGTCATATTGCAATATTTACAAGCAGCATTACTAAATGCAGAGACGCGATGTTTTATAAAAGGGCATTTCATGGTGTTAAAAATCTCATCATTAGAAACCTTTTCAAAACCGAATTATACCCTTCTTTTAGGTATTACGTTCAAAGAAGACCTAATTTTCTACCAAATGAATAAAGGCATGATTTACCTTATGCATTTTTTTCTACGAAATATATTTGAATTTAATGGTCACCAGAAATCAATTAGAAAACCTTCACGCTACTTAAGTAGTCATTTTTTACAGAGTGCAGTTTTTCCGAGTGGCCGAAAAGGAGCTCGTTCACTAGTTGGCATCCTGAGGTAATGGAATTATTTTGGGATTATGTTGTAAGGTGATTAATATTACAACCCTACTTAAGTACTCTTTTCGAGTCTAAAGTGCATTTTAGAATTTTGGTTAACATTTCGTGAGTTTGTAGATTAAAAGAATTTGATATGTTTTACCTATCTAACATACTCTAAGGGTGTGGCCCGGTCTAGATATTCCGGATTGTCCATGGCTATGGTTGCTCGCTGAGATCGGAGAAAATCCTTGGGTTTGTATGTACAATTCGACACTGTGTTCATCCTTACAAAGTCATAAACGAACGAACGCTACTAGACCTCGGAAAAAGTTCCTTCAGCCAGTGGGTAGCTCGACCGTGGAACTTTCTGATTAGAGATCATTATCGACCTTAAAAAAACTGCATAATTTTTGACAAAAAATCGACTCCCTCCACTTTATTATTTACGACCAGTCTTGTTAAATACTTCGTGGTCTACTATTCTTTCACAGAAAAGAATAGGCCCTAGGTCCGAACGCATTGTGAGCATTCGCAGTTTTGTACTGAATGGAAATACAGTGATCCCATCTAGATCGGTGGGGTTGTATTTCAGAACACACCGCCAAAACTGGAAGTCCGCGGAGTAAAAACCGTACGCTTTTACTACTATTTTGTACATTCTAAATCCTTATAAACCATCCCACATCCTTATAAACGCATGCCTCGGAGTTATACAGCACAAGAACACCCTATGTTCTCTTAGGCGCTATGCCAGGTTAGTTAGGATAACGCATGTTTTCCGCAGAAATTTGCGACCCAGCGAAAAACCCCCAATACAAATGTAGAAATTCTTGCATATACTACAGTGAGTGACCGATCTCATGATATGCTGGCTGAAATTCTGAAATGCGTTTTCGATTAAGAAGGATTACTCGGTCGCTGTTGTAATACTGATTATCTTGCGGCATAATCTTATAACGTTTCGGACTCGGCAGGATGTCAGCTTTTGAATACACTTCTTTTCAATCTCCTGTAGAAACCGTACTCGGTCAAAAATGACTACTTAAGTAGCATGCATTTTTCCCACTGATTTTCGATCGTCTTGCAAATTCAAATATATCTCATAGAAACCATAAATAAAAATATGCTTTCTTTCAGTTGTTTGATAGAGAATTGCGTCTTTATATTTTATACTCAAGAGAGGAGTATAATTAGGTTCTAAACAAGTTTTCTAATTGCCGAATAATTTACAGCCTGATCATTCTTTGCATTAGCGCACATATTTTTCTATGCCATTAAAAAGATATTATACAGAGTCCATAAAATTTTGCAATGGATGCGGACTATGCTGTACGTTTCATGAGGAGCTGGGGTAAACGGCGAGGTACGATGCTGTGTGAATGGGCATTGCGATGTCATAAAAAATCCCATAATTAGAAACTTCTTTAAAACCTAATTATACTCCCCTCTTGAGTATAAAATATGAAGACGCGATTCTCTATCAAACAACTGAAAGAAAACATATTTTTATTTATGGTTTCTATAAGATATATTGGAATTTGCAAGACCATCGAAAATCAGTGGGAAAAATGCGTGCTACTTAAGTAGTCATTTTTTTACTGAGTACGGTTTCCACAGCAGATTGAAAAGAAGTGTATTCAAAAGCTGACATCCTGCCGAGTCCAAAATGTTATAAGATTATGCCGCAAGATAATCAGTATTACAACAGCGACCGAGTAATCCTTCTTAATCGCAAACTCATTTCACAATTTCAGCCAACATCGGTCACTCACTGTATGCGTGACAGAGCGAAGTCGAGAAAATCGAAGAGCGATACCACGAGGCACTACTGTACACGGAAGTTACCACAAATTAGTACATTCAACTAGGGCTCTGCCTTCTAATAAGAGAGAGAGCCGTAGACAACATCACTTGAGGGTGCGGGATAGGAACCAGATAAATATTATCCCAGCAATTGAGTTCCTTATGAATCTTAAGGTATTCTATGCACAGGTGGTTGGCAATTTGTATACTTGAAAACGCAAGTCAATTCTACAGTCGACATCCACCAGCGCTGCGTTCTCTAAAAGGATTAATCTACGGTTTTCATTAAACATGTCATCCCAACTGCCAATTTTGGAGTTGTAATTATTCCATGGCACTCCCTACATATGAAGAGACACAAGCATTACCGTCCCAGTCTTTTGCAACAAGGATAGAGTTGCCCAAGTAATCACGACATAACGGCCATTTCCAAGTTCAGGTAAGGGTCTCGTCAATTTATCCCCGCTGAATAAGTCGCATGCAAAATTTCGGCCCGTTAGCGACGATGTCATTTACGGCGTTGTATTCGGCGTGCGCTACAGTACTCCGCAGTCGTAAAATGCGCGATATTCTAATGATTGCTGAATTGAAGCAATTCAGCCGAAACAAACATTTGAACTTTGGGACCGAGTGAGAAAACACCTGCCCCAAGGACTTTGCAGCAACTGTACACATAAAATCACTATGAAAATTATGATCATGCCGCGTGTATTTGCCTGGCATTTCGAACTCGGGTGGGATCCGACTATGGACCATAATAAACAACGCACATGCGACAAATTATCGAATCATATAGCGGTGTGGTATGTAAAACCTCCAGCGGCTGATATACTAGCTGATCGAGATCTCAGAAATCCTCAAATGTCTGGTCGTCCCGCAGCTTGAGTTAACCGTCATCAAGTGGTGCATGTGATATTCAGGAGATGCGTTAGACGTTGACCAGTTTAAATTCCACTGAATACAGGAGACGAAGCCAAAAACACGCAAACCTGTCAAACTTACTTGCCATGCACTCCTTGACAGCGCGCCCTCAACAGATAGTGCAAACAGACTGAAGTCCGCCTATCAGTAGGCGTCTGAGTGGCATCCTCAAGTAAGTTTTGCATTCGAAGATTCTTTTGTAACACTCAATGAGAAAGGCACACCCACGCGGAAAGCCCCCGCCCCACAAGGGTCTTAATCTGATTCACAGCGTCGCGGAGTGTTGCGTGATCACACAGTAAAGTGGTAGCCCAACACATGCTCACGATAAGATGAAACCGACTGCTAGTACAACTCACCTCGTGACGACTGAACTTGGAAGGGCGCAGCTGTGACCCTCATGTCGTGCGCTGCGACTGAAATCCGCATACCTGCAGCAGGAACGTGCGGTGGGTCAAACTAGAGATATCCAGCGCACAAACGTGGATTGCGAATGGGGAGCACAAAGTGGACGTTTAAACACGTCGACCGAAATGTCACTGAGAAATTGAGAGGAAATGGGCCCCAACACAGCGACACAAAGCGGTCAACCGCAAATTTTAAATATTTCTCCGTATGCCGCTAGTATCCCCCTTTGTATTCGTACAACTTTGAGGTGATTAAAATCGCTTCAGAATAATCCGGTCGCACCAAACTGAAAAGATACACACAGTTTCTTAAAGCAGGCTCGGCGAGGAACAGTTTTTAAACACGTTCAAATAGTCTTTTCTGACGCTTTTTATGATACGACTAACAGTAATCGTAAAGTGACCAAATCACAAAGAACCATCTGCTTCCCAAATCCAAAAATACGAAAATGCAGCGTCCAAATAAATAGCATTAAGGAAGGCAGAAGAAAGTTACGTTTAATTGGAAAGAGGCATGAGAAAGTTTGTCTGATCACATTACAAATCAAGGCAAATGAAGCAAAGAAGTTACATTTCAAAAGCAAAATAAGTAGTATAACGTCCGACTTCCGCACTGGCATCAAAAGGCTGGAAGGAAGGAAAAAGAGATATTCTCAAAAAATGCAACAGAAACGACTGCAACTACGGAGTAAACTAATAATTTGTCGTTTGCATGATTCAGTGCAAATTAACAGCCGAATGGGAGGTACGGAATCATCAGGAAAATTGTTGGGTGTAGCAAATCCAATGACCTGTATGATACTTAAGTTTAGTCCGACGATGATACCATAACAGGAGGACAAGAATTGCCGTTACTTGTGTCTTCTGATCTCTGTTCGTCTGGACCTCCAGTGCCCAGCAATGCAGCTGGTGAATTTATTTAGACTCAAGGTTACTTCTCTACCAATGGGACCAAAGACTGCATGAATTTGATTTCCTAACTGTCACCTCCGCAGACGTCGGGGCACTTCCTGCGCACAACTTCCGCTCAACTACATGAGAGACTAGGGTTGCTCCCGAGGTTACACAAGGCCGTGCTTCTTGATGTGAATGAGATCCCTGCAAAGAATAAACTCACGAAGGATGTACAATTCTCGTAGCAGCCTTAAGATATCTGCTCGACAATAACAGGTAACTGAGGCACTTAGTCAGTCGAAAGCTTCTGCTACCTCGGGTCGGAATTTTACCCAACGGGCAATCTTGAGATAGTACTAATTAACTGATAACGTTGGCGTAAATGTACAATATCCGCTTTTGTCGAAACCTCTGGAGTTCTTGGGAGACCAGTTAGAAAACCAAACAGAAAATGCAAATGGCTACCTTCAAGAAACTAATTCGATAATGATGGGACATGATTCTACAGAATGGGAGACATCAAATGTCCAGAAGAAAGCGATTCGCGTTGATTCGGCTCCATAACCTAAGCCAGATCTAACAGGTTGACCCTTGTTGCCGACAATGACCTTAGGCTGCCCTGCAGTGGGATTGACGCAGGGGCGGTGACTTGCGCTCTACCAACCGCAGCCTCTCCTCCTAAACTTCCCAGGCCCATTATCAGGGAAGGGTTAAAAATACTGGAGGCGGTGTTGAGAAGGATAAGCAAGTCCGTCTACGCGCGCCACGCACGCGCGGCAAGGGTTTCACCGGTTCCCAATTAGATGGAAGTGCCAAATTAAGAAGGAGCAGTTGCAGCCTGATTTGGAAAGGAGGATCGAGTTATTCTGTTGATTAGCAGCCTTCCAAACTGCGGTAGCGCGTCAGACTGTTTATAGTGAAGAATATGCGCTGAAAGTCGGCCTCAGCAGTTGACTGGGCTAAAAACAGCCTGTGTGCAAGTGTCTGAACAACACCGCATTGTCACACAAAGGGGTAAGCTGGCCGGACATGGTGGGGCCAGATGCTTGCAGGAGGACACCCAGGGTCTGTAGGAGGACAGCCATTTCAAGCTCCAGTAGGACCAGGTTTGCCACGAAACAGGCAACTAACGAGCCCATTGGAGTTCCTTCGATCTACTCATGGCTGCACATGTTCTCGCCAATGTATCAAGAACCACGATGAGGAAGTTTAATGCTGAAGTGATCTGCGCTGCCCGTAAAAGTACGTGCAGTTGGCGTAGACAGAGTGCCGACAGGGCTTTTTTGCGAGAATACATTCGCATCACGTGTCGGCCTGGTCGGTTACTTATGAATTTACCGCGGTGCCACTAAATTACCCATGTCAGGGATACTCGCCAGCACTAATTACCTCCGCCTTACTTGCCACACTGTCCCATCGAATGGAACCTAGTCGGCCACGTGTGTATATGCAAACATGGTAGAAGATTAAGTCTTCTTTAAATTTTATACTTGAAAAGTATAATTCGGTTTTGAGAAAGTTTTTAGTTATGAGCTTTTTTAAGATCGTGAAATGCCCTGTTTCGCCATCTACTTGTGTAGCTTATAAAGTTTGTAAAATAGCACAAACCTACTGCTGAATTCTATGAACATCATATGGTCTCCTCTTAATAGCGTATAGAAACATATGATTTTCCGTATACGCGAAATATACAGCTTGTAGTTTGGGAACCCTGAACGCAAGTGTAGCGGCAGGTCGGGTTCGAAATTATTCGAAAATTGAAAAAGTCTTTTGAAACCGAATTATACCCTTTTTTCCAGTATAAAATCTGGATAGAATGTCAGTTACCCCCAAAGGAGTAAAGGAATGAATATTTTTATGCATCTTTTCTATGAAATATATTTGAATATATTATGGCATCAAAAATCAACGAGAAAAATTCATACTACTTAGGCAGTCATTTTTAAATGGTGCAGTTTTTGCAGGCGACCGGAAAGAAGTTCGTCTGAAAGCCGGAATCCTGAAGTGACCGAAATATCCAGGGATTATGCTGTATGATAAGTAATATTGCAACCCTTCTTAATTTATCTTTTCGAGTCGAAAAGCACTTTAGAATTTCAGTTAGAATTTCATCAGTTGGCACGCCTACCCACACAAAAGCATCCACACAAAGCATGGACCTATTCGGTCGGACACGCATACATATAAATGATAATCGCCCATGCAACAGTCAAGCGAGCAATTTGGGAGCGTTTTTATTCACGTGTGGGTCCGCACTGTGTCCACTGTCTCATCACTTGTAACGGACAAATTACCATACGTTGCAGGGTATTTCTTGAATGTGACAACGATGAAGACTGACATAGGCGGAATCCCCTCCTGAACCGCGTCTGTCCTCTGCTACCGACTTTTGAATACGTGATAAAAATTACTCAAGGTGCTGGAGGCGCTAATGCAACTAACGTCTGTCAGACGCCACGGCCGCCTTGTCACCAGATGACCACTGTCTTCTCAGCTGGGAACTCAATGACCTGGCTCAGTGTGCTTGTACATGAATCTGGTAGATCACGCTTCAGAGAATCCAAAAAACAGATCTGCTAGATACTTGTACGAGTTGGCTGGACTAGCTCTCTGAAGCTTTGCCGAAATGGTACGACTGGCAAGTAGGTAGTATTTTAGCCTATCAAAGGATTCTGCAAGAAATATGATCTTCAGTTATCTGGTACAGACGATGATCACTTTTAATGGGTCATGAGTCGAAGAGTCTGGCTCCAACTGAGACGTATATTTTAAACTACTACGTAGGTGACGATTTCCGGTCTCAGTTTAAGGATAACAATCGGACTGCGATAGAAAGCGAAGCTGCTGAACCAGCAGACTGCTTCTGCAACTTGAATGCAACATTTCGTGTAAGGGGCAATGTCAAAATGAAACTAACCAAATGACCAGGTATGCGCGAAATCACTGTCTAAAACACGGAACGCTAATTGATTCTCGAGTTGGAAAGGTAGTCTTTATCCATGAATGGCGATCTAAACAGTTCCTGACCCAATATCCATAAACTGTCACAAGTGGCGTCTATAAATAACAGTCTCAGCGAAAATCAGAAAAGAACCACAATTAATATAGTCTTAAGTATGAGTTACAATCTTAACACAGTTCACTCAGGTGCATCTCTGCACTCAAGAACTTTGGTCTGGATGGCTTGAGTGCAAAGCGGAGGTTGGAATTTACCTAGCCTGGCTAAGGAACTCACCCAAACATCCTAAATTAGCGATTACAGAGCAGTCCTTGGAAATAAATAATACAACCTTTCCACTCCTCAAAAACAATAGAATTGAAATGACGTAGATATAATAACTAAACGCCAAGACGGTTGTACAACGCGACCTACCCCGCCACGGTGGTAACAAGGCGGCAATTCACCGTTTTGGTTCCGGATTTACCACGTGACCCATAAACACTGGCAGGCCCGATTCACTGACAATAAAGAGCAGGAACGGATGGTCCACAATAAATTCTGGTACGTGCATGAGCGCACAACGGAGCATCATTACAGCAGCCGTTGCAGCAGCTGCTTCGGCTCCCTCCTCGTCTACCTACAATCAAAACGTCAGAAACACTTCGATTTCGCCGCAGATTGAACGTTGTAACAAAAGTTATGTTTGCAGTAGTTAGTTGATGCCAGGAGGTGGCAAGGCACTCACTTCGATGGTTGCCTTATGAAAAACACTTGCGATGAAAAGATCTCTGCGGCCAGTTATGCCCGAGAAGTCAGCTGAAGCTGCGCTGAAAGCTGAAGGCATGCCCATCGCGGAGAGAACATCTTTTAAATCCTTGCTTTCGGAATCTGCCAGTCTGAACCTCGGAAGGCGTAGTTTGACTTTACACAAGGTGTAAGAGTCCTTTGAAAAAATTTTGGCGAAAAGGTCTTGTTGGGAGGTCTCCAGCAGTTTCGACAACACTTGATTAATGCCATTTTTGGCGTTTGGCAATAAGATGAGCATTTCATGGCTTAAAAGAGAAAAATCAGGACCAGGTAGGCAATTTCACATCGTCACTGAATAGGCTGACTAATCCAAATATTAGGTATTTTAATTTGGACTTTAACGAAAGGGTCGAAATTGGCTGCAAATGAGTGTCTTTCTCAGTGTGCAAAGAAATTTGCTAAACAACAATCCGATCCTGTGCCAGAGATCAAAAAGGGAGTGTCATCGTTGAAAAAGGCTAAAAGTTACCGTCACAATATAGTTGCAGTTAAGATTCGATAGCTAAAAAACCAACCTGAGTTCTAACTGTTCTACTTATGGCTGTCTTATCATTCGCAAGAAATGGGAAACTTAACGGTGGAGGAAGAGGAGGCAAATATTAAAGTAGTTGCAGTTTCACTACCAAATTTAATAGGATAACAATGGCTAGCACAACCTATTTTTTCAAAATTAGATGCACGTCATCATTCACTAACTATGGTTTAAAGGTAGCATGGAGGTTATAGTTGTAATTGGTAAAAATAAAAAACTCAGATCGGCGAATCGAAATCAATTATCGATCACCATTGCACACTAATGTCAAACTGTGTCTACACCACCTTATACACCACAATTTGAGATATCTAAGTGAGCATACATCCCGAATGGTTCATTTTAATTGACTTGAAAATAACGCTTTCACTAAATCCACCAACACAGCCAGATATCTGACATTCGCGGCAGCCAAAAACAAAATTGATCACACTTAAATTAACAAATAAATAACAGAGTGCGTGGTAAGACCGTAACGTCTTTAAAAGTGCATTGGCATCCGAAGTTGGCGCGGTGCAATAAAGTAAGTTTACGTCGGTCGTAATTATACTTAGTGGTTACCAACCAGCAGACATGCAATCAGGGGCGTGATACAAGAACGTTAGGTCACAAACACTTCGAACACGAGATATGGGCCTGTGATAGAAGTTCTCATAGCGAACCCACTTTGTCGACTAAAAATAATCAATGGAATTTCCGGACGAAAACTTTCAACATCCAGTATTAGTTTTGAATCTAGTTGATGATCCGATATGTTTGGTTTTCAATATATACATAATTGGTGGTTATGCAGGATGCTAGCGAACACAGCCAGAATTGCAAAAAAACTACAAAAGAATGCTTAGGAAAGAAAACACAGCTAGAATAGTCACACATTTAACAGCCTTAAAATAAACTGAAGCTAATCAGGCAAACGGTCTGCAATCGAGATGGACAGAAAGGTGAAGAATACGAAGATAAAAATGAGTTCCGTTAAGAAAGCCGACCGTGTAAGAAGAAGCACTAAATAAAGCTACAGAGGTCTCTGATAAACGTGAAGCTAACACGTGACGAATCCGATAAGCACTGTTAACGTACCACGTAAAAGGAATTCGTATAGCTTTACAATCGAGCTCTTCATTAAAATGACCAAGTAATAGCCTTCTCTCACAGTGCATCATAGGAACATTAATTTCCTCACCAGTTAGCAAAGAAAACTTCCCCTCCATGGTTTGTTCACGAATAAACTTTTCTTCCCAAACGCCTTGGGGAGGAAAGTGATTTTGTTTATCATTTACCTTTAAAATGAACTGCGTTCGCTAAGACCAGTCTTGTGTCGGAATTTAAAACTCCTTCAGGCAGGAGATCGTGAATCATTTTATTCGTATGATTAAGGATCCAATCATTAATCATTTGACGAGCACCCTCCAGGTTTTTCATGTAGTCCACCTTGTAAAAACACTTATCTGCCAAAGTGCCAAGCAGATACCTCAACTGCGGATGCCGCAAAATGCAATTTCAGTGCTTCTAGGAAGGACTCCAACAATCTGAAACCAGACTGTACAAACATCCCATTCGCTTGGATAAGTTCTGTGCCTTTATCGTCCTTAAAAACATTCTTCATATTATCACCGGCACATTTAATGGCAGCATCAAAGCTTCCAGTATGTTCCAGACGAAGTGTGCTTAACATTTCCTTTCTGGTGGTTTCGTCGCTACCAGCAAGAACAAGTGAAATAGTTGAGTATATACTGATCGGCGATATGAGGCAATTCGCAGCTTCGCCTTTGTAAAATGTACTGACTAACGATAACCATGACACATACCAGGCGCGGCCTTAATTAATTCGCCATAGACTTGTTGCGTAAAAGCGCGAAAACCAGCAGCGCCTAAAACGTAAAAGGGCTGAAACAAAAAATTACCAAACATAATCAATAGGTTTTGGTCTTTATCTCAACTTTACCGGGAGTGCTGAGCTTCCTGTTTCCACACGTTTTTGAATATGCGGTATCGCGGAAAGCACAGTCAAACAAAGGAGGATACGAAATTACGAATATTGATATTATCCTTAGCCTAAAAGAGAAGTATGGGGTCAACAATAACAAAGCAAAAATACTGAATCAGCTTGCATGATGTCACACGAAAATGGAAAAGAAGGAAATTTCGAGTGTGCTGTGCTCAGTAAAAGCAGTGTTTACACACGATAATTTTCTTCCGCCCGCTAAAGTTCGGGAAAATGAGCGGAAAAATGGAGTCAAACAAGTCTAAACGCATGCGGTTGTTCGTTTTGCGTGCAACCATCTGTGGCCGACAGGTCATGGATACCATTTACTCCTTATTTTGACAATCCTTGTTATCCCAAGAACATTCCGCTCCGTAGGCATACGTCAGCACGGTAGAAAATTACGGGCGTCTGAGTGTTTCACACTACTTCCGCCCATTGGCCTTACGAGCGACTGTACGACCCTCTGTCTAAACAGTGGGCGACTGAGTTTTTTTGGTGCGTGCTGAACATTCAGGCCACGTGGCGAGTAGAGCCACTAGCATCCCACGAAGCATTATTTAAGGGCATTCAAAAATGACAGACAGCGATCGGGCAGCGTTGGAGCCACTATTGGTAGGTTTATCGGCTGGAGCATGACCTGAGGCTCGTGTTCCAGTCTTGATGAACCCTCGCAGTTAGGGTGGAGGGGCAGAAGGCTCTCATTGAACAGTTTCCTCAAGGACTCCCACTAACTGGAACAAGAAATTCATTGGTTTGCTGTTTTGGATTCTCTCTCGAACCTATCATTGGAGACGGTTGTAGATAAAGGCTGGGGAGGCACAAAGAGTGCAGTATTTATAGTACGCATGTGGCCCCACGGCAGCCACGTACTATAAATACTGCAGCCTTTGTGCCTCCACAGCCTTTATCTACCACCGTCTCCTATGATATGTTCGAGTGAGAATCCTAACGCCGAACCAATAAATTTATTGTTCCAGTGATCACATATTTTTTTTCTGAGATGCTTTTTGGGACTCGCATACTCGCTTCTGTCAGCACTCCTTTTAACGCACGGTGGCTCAAAAAGGATACCAGACAAGCGATCGCCAATCGCCGAAACAAGAGTATGTAAATGAATAAATCAAAAAATTTTGTTAAAGACCCAACGGGGTCCCATCCTAGCAAGAAAAAAGAAACTTTAATACGAGGTAGGCACGATATGTATAATAATCAATGCACAGTTATTTATTTATCTCGGCTATCTTGTTAAGCACACTGTATTTATTGCACTTTTTTCTAACTTTGCTATCATTTTGCCTTGGATCTCATTTTTTTAACTTAAAACAAACACTTAATTCGCGCTCTAGTGACTAAACAGATATGAAAATCCAATGAAGTCAATGTGCAACCGAAGTGGATGAGTCTTGTTTGGGTATTTCGCAGTGTTCAAGGAAGATTGACAATAAACAAGAGATGCTATAATAAACCTTTTCGATTGTACACGCAAAGGCCAAAGCCTCGGCGATCACCGCTTTGGCCCTCTTATACAGGCATCAACTTTTCGCATGGGAGTCTATGTAGATGATCATGCCAATGCCGCTGCCATACCAACTAATGACTGGATCGATCTGGTTCAACTTAGCAAAAATATATCTGCATTTCCGGTAGACTAACAATGTTCTTTTCCTTAATCGATACAGGAACCATCGACTCCTAATTGCATGAATATGCGTCTCAGGTATTTTGCGTCTTATAATTTTTATATATTTGTGTAAACAGATTACATATTGTCCTGAGGATCAAAAAATTTCATACTTTTGAAATGCTATATGTTCTTATCGCGAATAATTTCGACATTTATACGAGAGTTCGAACTTGGTGACCGACGATATTGACTGTGTGCTCCACAGCGGGGTGAGAGCGGAAACGGTAATTTGCGCATAATTTATCTATAGCGATGGTGGAGTTTCGCTCTATCTGACGCACTGTTTCCTCCGGGAGGGACGCAGGTGGCCGGGACGATGAAGGCCCGTAACCAACCTAACGACCTCACCCGTTGATCCATGGCGTATATAGATTACGAATTTACCCAAGAAGAAAAAATGATAGCTGCCACGGATCACACCTAACGAGGCCTGCCGCCACACACCCTAATGCTGACATTTGTTATGGGTGCGTACTACTGGTAACGCATCTCGATCTTCGATCTAGACCATTTCCTGATTCAGTGCATCAACCACGTTGCGAGCTTTAGAAGATACAATCAACTATTATGACGTGCTCTTCACTGCGCGCATGCAATTCATGAATTTCGATATTCTACGCGTTTTTAGGTGGCTCAGTTAAATTGATACCAGTGGGTAAAGGCTACTTTTTAAAATCGCAATTTTTGGATTTACATGTCATTTCGGAAATCATGCAAAAAGCTTCGAAAATTGTGTTTAAACGCAGGTCACGCGTATCCTGAGTTTTCCAGATTTCGTTTTCAGATTTGTCTGACTAACATACCATATGGATTCCTGCTTCGGCCACCCATTTTCGTATTCGTGGCATAGACCTCAAACGTCTTAAAATTCGTATTAATCTTGCTTGCATGAAATAACTTTTGCAATTGTGCACTCATTCTTTTGTCCGTGTTCGTATGCGAGTCATTCAGCAGATAAATTCACGACCGGACACAAATTTTCGAATTCCAAGTACAACTGAAATATATAAGGCTCCCTGCAGAATCTTCACAGAAGGATCTCGGGGTTTGGATACAGAACAACCTGAAATCGACAATGCAGTGCCACAAGGCTGCGAAAAACGCCATGGGAGTGCTGCGTGCAATCAAAAGGGCTTTCGTTAACTTTGACAAAGACCTTTTCGGGACATTGTACGGCACTTTTGTTCGACCCCACTTAGAATATGGCATACAAGCATGGCGGCCATGGCTTGTAAAGGACCAAGCATGCCTCAAAAGGGTACAACGGCGTGCAACAAAGCTGGTAACGGTCCAAAAGGCAAATCCTACACAGACAGACTGAATTACCTTAATTTATTCCCTCTGTGTTACAGGCAGCAAAACGGGGATAATATCCTCGTCTACAAGATAATACCTGGCCTTGAACATGGACTTAAATTTGAGGACATTTTTCAGTGGCACCTTTTACCCAATCTCCGTGGTCACTCGATGAATTTACGGACACAATGTACAGGCTGAATCTTCGTTCTGAATTTTTCACGCAGAGGGTAGTGGAGAAATGGAACGATCTCCCTCAGTCAGTCGTGGAGGCGATTTATCTGCAACTCTTCAAGAGACGCTTGGATGATTATTTGTGTCCCCTGTTTTCCCTCGACAGTCTGAGTCTGAACTGCCACCACACAATCCCGCAAACATTTTCTCTGAGACAATGCTACTCAAATGGATCAAGTACTGTTTTAATAGCGAATATTGTTATTGTTCGTTTACAGTTACTTATAACGAGCTGACATGTAATGAATAGGGTTTTCAGAGGCTTTGCCTATTATCCTTACCAACCAAATTGAATCTGTAAAAAACATGCAGAAGGGGGGGGGGGAACTAAAATTGCTGTAAGTCAGTAGTTTTAAAAAACTGCACTGATGCGTTTAAACACCGGAAAGTTGGGTGATTTGAACTTTCAAGCCACTGTTTGTTGCATGTTCTATATATTACGAGGGTCTCATCGGATCATGAAATGTGTCGCACTGGCCTGGGTGCATACGACCAGACTGGAATCTCATTACATAGCAGTTCCTTCCTCTGGTTACATTTAATACTACTACTACTACTACTACTACTACTACTACTACTACTAATACTACTACTACTACTACTACTACTACGCGTTTCTGCTTTTTTGTCTCTGATGATGGATTCGAGTAGGAATCCGAAACGTCAGGCTAATATAGCTCTTGTTCCGGCGATCATGTCTCCTTCTTTAAGAATACTAATTGTATTTAATACCAGTTTGCAGGCATTGTCAGGTAAGTCGTAAAGACAAATCCGGCCAGCATTAAAAAAAGCCTGTCAAAAGGAAATAGAAATAAAGTTAATGGTGGTTTTTTATAGTTTGGAGGGCTCAGGAGACGAAAAAGCTGACAGACGACTGTTGAGCAGCCAGACTATTAGGCATTTATGGCGCATGCTGTACATAGTTACGAAAATCGAACCTCGAACAGACATTTATAACAAACACCTTCGCATGCCCATTTTACACTGCGGCGGTTCGCATCTACTTGCCCTCCGCTGTTTTCACTCTGCCCTCCTGTCCACCCCATGCTCCCTGTCGATCCGCGACGGGGACGCGCAAGGCTTGTTACTACCCTCGCAAGCGCTCAAGGCTTATCAACACTGCACCTTCTCTGATTACATGGCGGCCACAGAGACAGAGTGATAGACGCACACACGCGCTGGGGCTGCGCAACTCCAAGACGGATGCAGACAACGCAACTTGCCTGGAGAACGCGCCCGCGGCGATTGCTTGTAGAGCTTTGTGCAAGCACTTCCTCAGCAGTAAAGGTTGTCCAGCCCAATCCGTCTTGCCTTGTATTCCGACTACACCACTTCCAACAACACCACTTCCGTTATCAACATTTCGAGGTAACCTACTCTATGGCGATATTTCCATGGTAGTTTGTGATTTATTGTAAGTCGCCAACCGAAAAACTGTTTATTGAACTAAGACTACATTTTATACCGTTTGCTAAAGGAGCACCGCGTCTGGGACTTCGAAACTCTCAAGTAGTTAGAGAAACTGCGATAGTGGAAGCGATTTATGATTCTGAAAACGTAATACAGTGGTTTCGAGTAACAGTGTAACAGGATGTTTTAAGATTCCGGGTCATATTCATAAATTTATTTTTCTGAATTTCGAGAACAAAAATTATCGAAGAACGTGTAGTAACTATACGCGCATCGCTACTTATTTTCATAAAAATTAAT